GCTTTAGGCAAGTCAAAAGCATTTCTGTTCAGTGATATTGGAGTTTATGTTGATGTGTGGGTGATGTGGAGCTTTGATTTTGGGAGCGTTTATGTTGATGTGCGAGTGGAGTTGGGAGCAGTTGGTGGGGTGTTTATACAGTGGCGATGTAAACTGATGTTGGAGTGATGTGTGTTGCTGAATTAGTGCGGGGTGTTAATGTAGAGTAGGAAGAATTTATAGTGGATGTGGAGTTTTGATGTGAAGTGTTTAGCAGAATAGCTTGGATTGTTAATGTGCAAGTGATCTGTGAGGGTCTGAGGAGATTGCAGTGTTGGTGTGGTGTGATGTGGCATATTTACATGTAGTGGTGATGTGTGGATGCTTCACCACGCTGATCGGTGCTGGTTGGTCAATTGTGTGGCCAGGACTGGTACAGATGTCAGTCGCCACTGTGCCGTGGAATCAAACTCGGGAAGTGAGCTCCCTAGCACGGTGCGCTAACCACTGCGCCGTACACATCCGATTTATAAATATAGACTTTGTGGAGGTTGTGCGTGTGGTGTGTGGGTTTTGTTTGTATTAAGGCGCCCCTGTAAACATACACATGCTCAATGTTGCATGTGTGTTTTCTTGTAATTCTGGAGCTGTGCAAAGGAAGGAAGGGAATTTTCAATCGCAGAAACTGCCCGGAGCTGGTGTCCTGTGCTTTAGATTATCCAGTTTGAAAGGGGGGGTGAGGCTGGGGGGGGGGGTTACGAAGAGGGCAGCTTAACATTGAAACTAGAGGCATCCACGTTTGTTCGCTTTTGAAAGGTTTTTGCTGTTTTGTTGTTACAGAGCGGGGGTATTGGCTGAAACCATTGCCTAAATTAAACTAAATTGAAAGGGTTGTGAGTGTTAACCAAGTTATGTGGCTTATCGATGCCCTCCTTTGTTTTTACACTTCAAAATAAATTGTCTGTGACAACATTTTTTACAATAAATATTTAATTTAAAAACATTTTTTTTTTCACGGGGAGATATTGCATGAGGAAATTTGGCAAATGGCACTTATAAGCGTTTGGCTTTATTTGGGAGGAAACTGGAATAATTTGAAAACCCACGCACAGATTTAGAAAGAAGAATCCATTTGCTTGTACTGCCAACCAAATAGTGTTTTGTAAGTTGCATATTAACTTCGTCTTTCAGTATTTAGCAAAAATTAAGTGTTTCCCAACACTGCCAGATGGGGTATGAATGTGCAAGCGAGAGCGACGCGGGGCCGGTAGTTGGTGCCGCTGGTGTTGGTCTGAATGGGTTCATTGTGGGGCCCCACACCCTTGACTTCATTTCCATAAATGGCTGTGGTTTGCGGCCAAGGTGTTGGGTCCTCGCTGCATTCTTTTAGGCTCTAAATCGGGCAGCTGTGGGCGCTGCAGCTTTTGCAGGTTCTCTGCTTTTGGTCAAAGAAGGGGGGGGGGGGGCTTTCTCGCCGCACGTGAAATGAGAGCAGCGAGGCATCTGCTCTGCTCTATGAACATCCCCTCTGCCTTTACTGCCCTTCCTAGCAGATCTGCGATGACTTTTACCCACCCACCGCCCCCCCCTGCTTGACAGCAGCCGTCCATCCCTTTGCCAGGTCCTTGAGCGAGTTTTGCCCCTGGTCTGCCTCCACGTGCCAAGGAAAACTAACAAAGTGAAAAATTAAGCTGTGCGTGGAGATTAAACTGAAAAAGGCAGAGAAACTGTTGGCGCTGTTGTAAGCGGCTTGTCTGCATTCCCTCCACCCTCTCGAATGGTGCCACTGTGCCCACAACTAAAGTGCAGCCTTGCTGGTATTTTTGCAGCAGATACAATGGACTTCCAATGTATGCATGGCTTCCACCATGGAAATGTGGCATTTCCCACCAGTGGCTCAGGGCTGTGCACAGGAGATAAGCACTGCTGCAATGCTTATTTGAACAAGAAAATCACTTTGACTAGAATGTTTACAATACCTATGGAATATGCAGGTGTATCTGTTTAGTTATGGCATTGTAGCATGCTTATTCTCTTTACAGCTGATTAAATCCTTGGAGGCTTGCGTGTCACAAGTGATCAAAACTCCGTCATATTTGTGCTTGTTTTCAATTGGTTTCCACTCATTGCTATGTTATTCTGGGCAAGAAAGTAAAACAGTGTGATTATTCAAGACCAAAGCGGCAGTTTACAATTTAGCATCTTATTCCTCAGCATCATAATTTAGGAAAAGGTTACATACGTACATACGTTATATCGCACATTTGAACACCCTATAGCTGCAGTGTAAGTTTTGTTTATTTATAACTAATTGTGTTATGCTCTTACATTGTCCCACTTTAGTTAATGCAACACAACAAACATTTAGGAGACGTTGCATGTGCATGGTTTGGCCCATGTTTCTGTCGCTGCTTTTGTGTAGTTTTTTTCATGGGTGGCGGCTGCAGCTGAGGCTGAGGCCTGGCTTTCGCCTCAGGCTTGTAAACGCTGCGTCTGGCACTGTGCCATGCGCAGGCGGCAACCATCGTTCTCCCCCCGCCCCGCCACCCTCCTCTCAGTCCTACGCCTCGCCCCCCCCTCCTCTACCTCGACCCTTTCAATTTGCCTTTGTTTTCATGGACGTGTTACGATGCGTTGATACAAAGCGATTGTTAAACTCGAGATACTTTTTTCGAAGTGTTGCGCAGGAAGTGATAACTTACGACTTTTGCAAATTACGCACATATGTTGCTTTTGTTCTCAACAGAACAGACAAGACAAAGTGAACATGGCACCGTATGAGAACGACGGTGCAAACCAAATAATTCCGAGTGCGGCCAAAAATGAATTACCGTAATTCTCGAGTCGAATCGTGAACGCGCCTCGTAAATTGTGGGTGGTGGTGAATTGTATGTCTGCTGTTTGATGTCTTCCCTTTACCGTGGCACCAGTTATTGAGAGCATTAATCTCTATCTGAATAATCCCTTTTCTGGAAGCGGCCGCACGATCCGTGCAGCCCAGAGTTGGCAGTGGGGGAGGCAAGTCAGAGAGTGGGGGGCCCCAATTGGCGGCACACAGGCGCCGTTTCCTCACGAGCTGCGGATTTCAGAGTGGTCGCTGGCAGATTTTCGGATCAAGGCATCGTTGCGGCCGAGTGCCAAACCAAAGTCGTGGTCAGTGTTTTTGCTTTGGCTACCAAAAAAAATGCAGGATGAAAACAAAGGCAACCAGTCTTGCAGAGTAAGCATGAGGAAGTCTATTTTGCGTCCAATGGGATTTTTACATGGATAATAAATGTAACGCATATTCACGACTGACCGCCCGGCCCTTTCTCCAACAGCGCCTAATTTAATTCTACCGGCTTTAGGCAATGCGGCTCCATTGCACTGCATGAAGCTCTTTTTTCTCGGAGAGGTGAATCCGCTCATTTGCGGGGTCATCACTGAGTGAACTTTGTCCATGGCACCAGAGGACAAGGGGTCATTCTCTCAGTGACTGTCTCAGATTATTCTGGCATCCACACGGTACAGACAATTGGTGGATATGGTTTGTGGAATGTTCAGGTTTGAGGTTTACCCTTGTCAACTGTTCAACTTGAAATCGCGCACATTAGAATGCCCTTCCAGTCCCCCTCCCCCCACTGCTGATAGCTTCCTACTGCATCAGTCCCCTTAATATTGCTCCTTGCATCTGGTTGCTGCTCTTATGAACGCTGCCCGACGGCGTTACTAACGCGGGGGGTGCTAATTGCTGTTGGGTTGAGCCTTCTATGCCTCCGCCTTTTATTTACACCACCGTTGTGCACACAAGCCCACTGAGCAGGAGGCTGTTGTGCTTGGTTCATATAATAAAGCAATGCCACATTCGGTATCTTCATTACATTCTTTGGAAGCAAAATATATATAGTCTATGGAAGTGAAGAGTGCTGATGTATTGGTTCATGTGTTGTGCTGTGAACCCAGCATCTGGAGTTCAATTCCCGGCCAGGGCTAACATCGTTTGTGATTGATTTCTGAACCATAAACGAAGCTTGCCCCCAGCTCCACTACATGGTACTGATCACCAGGTGGTGAAGAATGCTCAAACTGCGATAGGTGAAATGGCATGGGAAGTCGTCATCTAGCTCTTAATAGTTTGTTCTCATTGCAAATGAAATGACTTAATTTATGATCGTGCCTTGGTTCAAGAATATTTTGTAGACTTTTGTGGCAAACATAGCGGCTGCCACGATTTTCGTAATCCCATTACACAAGTTCAACCGATTCTGATTTTCGTTTCTGAATTAACACACCGTTGCATTTGTATTATGTGCGCGCTGTAGTCGCTTTGTTGTGATCCCATTTGGCCTACTTCTTTTAGCTGTGTCCTTATGACCATAACTGTTGGATGGGTGCCCATGCCCTGTCGGTCTGCTGCACACCTTGCTCTAGTGACATTTGGCACAACTCAGACAGCGGATAGCGAAGAGTCTGCCCCTGCCCCACGAGAGGCAGAGAAATGTGTGCTCTCGTAATCTTTTGTGCGTTATAACCGCGTCTCTGGTGGCAGTCGCCACCGCAATACGGCATGGTTACATTGGTCGGCGCCGCCGCCGCCCGTAAGTGAAACGCCGTCGCGGCACAACCGGGAGGTGCGGGTCAACGGCACTTCACCGTGAAGTGTGCCGACCCTGCCCCACACAGCGGCTGTCCTCTGTCAGTTGGCGGGGGCCGGCAAGACGCTGCCGAGTTGGTACTGCCTCTGTCCCTGATGCCTCTGTGCGCATGACAGCAAAGTGGTCCAGTGCGACGCAGCAGAAGTGTCTGTTAGCAGAGCTGACGCTGCGTTTGCTAAATTATTGGCCACAGGAAATATTATTTGTGCTGTGCTGCATCCCGGTTTGGCTATCGTGAAATATCGTGTGTGCAGCTGGTGGGGTGGAACAGACTCGCTGGCAGTTGTGGGGTTGATGAGCATGAGCTATATTTGAAATCCGGCGTGCATCGGTTTGGACCCGACCTCACGCTTGCAATGTGTTCTCTTATTTTGTTAAATTTCCCAGTGCCAGAGCCGACAAAGACCAAACCAAACGCAACTCGACCCTGCGACCTGAGCAGCAGCAGTAGCGGGAGCAGTATTGCATCAGAGGAAAACAGCACTCCTGCGCTCGCCTGGCCCGGCAATGCCAAGCAATCCCCCGGCCACAGCGACACTTGGGCCGGGCAGCAGAATCCACAGCAGCAGCAACAACTGCAGCAGCCACCTTCCACCGGCCGCTTTCCATCCCGCGACCTTCCCCCTCGCTTCCGGCAGCTGGAGCCGAGACCGAGCGTGAGACGCGCAAAAGACGGGCTTTTCGAGGGACAGCCGCCGCCAGCAAAGTGCAACGGAGGTTCACGGCTCGGAGACACGAGTGCGGGTGAGCATTGCGAGCCGCAGCACAAACCTCGCCTCGTCTCCCTGTGTCTTCGTTCGCGGTGTTGTCTCGTCGTGTCTGTGTCCTGCTGTGTCATCGCTCACCTCGGTCATCTCAACCACGTGGAGAGTATAAGCGTTGGGACAATGTAACTGACTTGTCACGCAACTGACCTCGCTCACGCTGGCCTGCTGAGTTGGGCGCTGTGACCACGAAACTTAAATGTCCACAAAGAATGGAAAGGCGTACTGGTAAAGTGCCAGAGCTGGGGTTATGAATAGGGTTTGGTCAGTGAGAGATGGTGCAGTGGCTGGTTGGTTTCAGTTTGAAAGTGATAATACAAGTGACTAGTTGGTTAAAGTTATGGTTCATAAGATGGCTAATACTAGCAGCTAATTTGTTTTGTGTTTGTGAAAGGGCTTGTACTCGTGACTAGTTGGTTATGTATTGTTTAACGGCTATAGTTAGTGGCTAGTTGGTTAAAGTTATGGTGTGTAAGAATGCTGTACCAGCGGCTGGTTGGTTAGGGTTATAATTGGCTTGGCTTGTATCCTCTGCCTCCATCGCAATGTAAAGGCGGCCTTTTCAGCATTTGGTCACTTTTGGAGTCTGGTGTATAAATTGCTTCTAAGCACAGCTGTAATGCCTCCCCACTTCATGCTGAGAATTAATTATATTATCGGAGTTGTCTGGCGACAGAGTGCAGCTCCTTTGCTGCTGTCAATAGCGGTGTTTCCGGCTGGACACAGTGCATGTGAGTTAACATGGCGATCTGGTAAAAAAATGCAAGTCATGCTGGCCTGCATTTGGAAGTTTTGCCGTAATGAACTGCATTGCCGGAAATTGCAGACTAATCTGTGAATATTTGTGGTAACTCAGGTATTTAAAATACGTTGCTTCCACATTTCTTTTCACCATTGCTCATTTGCTCCCACCGATTTTCTATGTCCACTTGCCAAACATGTGTTGGTTTGTCTTTCCAGTGTTAGGTCTATCCTGCTTGATTAAAGGTGTGGATATGGGAGAGGTCGCTGCTATAACAGCAGGAAGTGTCAGCCCGTGGGTCTTTGCACTGCTTCGCTGAGGCATCTACTAACGAGCGAACAGTGTTTCGGTGCCATTGCAGTCACCTTGGCTTACTGTTAAACGCGCGTGTTGAGGCTGGAGGCTGCCTGTATAAATCTACCATGCGGTGCTGATGTGTCCATTCTGCCTCCTGTCTGGCCTTTGAGATGTCGTGCTTCCCACCGCTCACATGTGCACACACTAGGTCTGGGGTCAGCATCCATTATAACAAGAGCCATTTTTTTTCAATGTATGTGAATACGAGACGGTGGTCCTTGGGAAATAACATCAAGAACCACGTGCAGCTCTGGAACCGCAGGTTGCCGACCTCTTCTGTCATGTCTGTGTTGTAGTTGTGATGATAGTGGGGGGGGGGGGTGGCGTTATGGTTATTATGGATCGTTTGTTTAAAGCTAGATGTGGCAAGATTTATAAATGCTGTCGGTGGAAATAATGGAAAAATTAGGCTCCTCAACATGAACATTTTCTGTCAGATTGCCTCACTAATACTGTAATGGCATTTGTTATCTGTGAACACTGCATGGACTTGTTTTGATATTAAGGTAGGTATGTTTATTTTTTCTAGCAAAGTTCATACTAAGAAGACTAAAAGGAAAGCAAAAATAGCCTTGTTTACCACTGGGAAGGTCGGCAGTGGCAACTTATTTTAAGCTCGCCCCTCTTGCTGACACGCGGGTTTGTGACGTTGAGCTTTAATTTCACAAAATTGGCAAGTTTTAAAAATACCAAATACGTGTCCACTAGATCCACAGCGGGTTAGGCGATCGGGTGTTGCCTTCAAGAGCCGGCTGGGGAATTGTGTTCGTACGAATGTTTATTTACCGCGACGGCGCTGCAGCACACTACATGGACACGGGGTGGAGGCCGGGGCAGCCCAAGGAGAGACGACATCGCTCTGAGCTGTCATGCTCCAGAACGGCGGTGGGGTTGCGTCTGGTCTGCGCATTTTTCCAAAAAGCTTCCCAGCAGTCGACGTGCAGGCCCGAGCCGTCCTTGTCTGTGTGAAGAGCGCATTCTAGCGCTGCTCCAGAGAGGTTTTTTTCACGAGTGACCTTGGCATCACCTTGAGTCCAGCGCACTGGCCGCGTACACGCAGGAAACAAACACTGCCCACTTATTTATGTAGCTTGTTGCCTGCGCTTGAAAAAAAAGCACAGCCATTGGCTCGTGGCCCGCCCTGACCCAGGCGTCTGGGTGGGGCCAACATTCCAATAATGTGGGACCTTTTAAAAGCTGTTTTGAATTTATTTCTTTTCACGTGGAATTTTAATTTTAAGTTTACAACCTTTGCAGAAATTTATACCAATTTCCTGAGCATCCGCCAATGTAAACTGCCGCTCTTGTTTCCAGTCACCAAGGAAATGGCTCGTTTACACAACGATTGTTGCAGTTAAAAATACCTACCCCTCCACGTGAAAGCGGTTAATTCAAGATAGCAGTTACATGCGAACGTGGATCTCTTACTATCTTGTCCCAAACCATTACGTAATGTACACATGACATTTGTAAAAATGCGTATACACTTGGGTAAACAAATGCATTATTACTCCCTCTGTCCATTAACTTCCGTTGTTGCTAAACCTGGTGCTTTCAAGCACACTTTCACATTGTCATTCATTTGCATTGACAACGGGCATTTAGAATTATTTGCCTCGACATTTTAGATGCTTTTGCCTGAAACCATTTCCAGAGCTTATTGAGCAGCTCACAACCTTGCACTAGCCTGCTGCGCTCCCCCCTCTGCTTGAAATGGCGCATTCCACATTTCTGAAGAATGAGTCAGGCTCTCTCTCCTCACTGCTCAAAAGAGGCCAATTATCCAGGCGGTGTACAGTGTTTTTCAGCGAGCCTGTGTGTGCACAATCCCGGGGAGTGATCCTACACTCCTCACACTTTTCCCCCCGTCTTTGTGCAGAAAATTGTCAGCCACCGTTGAATTCAAACATTCGCGTCATCGGACATGATAGGGTGTAGTCATGCTGACCCTACAATTGGAGGAGTGCTTGCGAGTAGAGTAAACCTGGGTATTTCTGGGGCGTGGAGGTCGAGGAAGGCATAACACCAAAATGTGCCAACCAATGCAAATGCCGAATTATCAGAAGTGGCCCTGCCCCATTGCTCCCTTACCCATATCACTGTCCTGTCCAGTGCATGTTTTTGCATGTCCCCACTATTTTACCCAAGTCCATGTCTTGGCTAAGACCATGGCTAGTTTCCCCAAGTGCTCTTGACCACACATGCCTTGGTGCCGTGAAAATAAAACCGTCGGTGCACGTAGCAAAGCGTTGTCCTGCAGAAAAAATACCTTTTAAATCTACTTTCGATCATGAGCACCGGCTTTTTGAGAATCTATTACTGTTATAATGGTACCTTCTCTTCTGTTTTTCTGTGTTATGCTCTGTCCTTAAGTTTTTTCTGCATTTCTAAGGTTCTTCAATGCATTAGCATTTAAGTAATATTTAAATAAATAAAATTACGCATAATATTAAAAGGACAAATTGCTAAATCATTTTCGCGCGCATGCATGTGTGTATGGCTGACGATGGATTGTGGAAAATCAAAATGGTTTTTACCAGACATCACAAATTCAGTACAAAGAGAGGTCTGTGTCGTTTACGATTTGTGTCTCGGATTTCAAATACAATGGCCATGGCAGAGAGCTCTGTACTAATAAGAGTCATGCACATTACCAGGCATGCTGTTGAACAGCTATTGATTTTTGGCCTCCACACCCGTTTCCTCTAGCCCAGCCTGCTTTGTGGCATCATGAGCAGAGCAGAGTATGAACATTAATGAGGTGAAAAACCTTACCACTTTGCTCACCCATCAAGTTCAACACTAAAACGGTTTAACGAATGTCGGGAAGTCGTGTGCAACCTGCAAAATACTAAAATGTTCAATCGCATATTCCAGCAGCCCTTGAGCCACGAGCAATGGCACTATACTGTGTTCCTTTAAAAAAAATGGTAGGAGAGGGAGGTGGTGTGTACGGAGGGAGAATCCAAATGAAGTCTATTGACTTTCCCTGCAGCATGAAAGCAACCAACAGAATTTTCTTGGCTGACTTTCAAAAAGTGAATTACGGTTGCTTAATAGCATTAGAGATGGAGACGCGGGGAGGTGATGGGGCTGGGGGTGTGGGGACGGAGGGAACGGAAAGCCTGGGGGTGTGCGGGGGGGGGACAAGGGCAATGGACAGAGGATGTGAATGCGAGAGAAAAACAATGCCTGCAAATGCTGCGTTTGTCCCTGATCGTGAGACGTTGCTTTATTTTACACGCGACGCCACTCGCAGGCAAACCAAGGCAACATTTTGGCGTATCATATCGCAGGGCCCAGCTGCTTTATCTAACTATAGATCAGTCGTGGCAACGGCGCAAGTGGCCTTGCTCTGGGAGGGTTTTTAGAACGGCAAATAAATTGAGGGATTTCATGCGACGGCGTATGCTATAGCTGGTACCCCACCCTCCACAACAGCCTCCCCACCCACCCCTACTCCCTCCCCGGACTGCCCACAGCTACATGGAACCCTCCACGAGGCTGGCAGTCGGATACGTGCAGCGCAGAGCGCGCAAGGCAAAGAGGGAGAGAGATCAGGGGGAGTGTGAGGGGGGGATGGCGGGTGGGAAGGAGAGTGAGCGAGGGTGGGGGGGAGAGAGCGGGCGGGCGCCAGTGAGCCAGCCATTGCGCACCCAAATCACAAGCACACGGCCGCCATGTTGAACAGGCAGTGAATGCAGCCACGGCGCGCGCAGAGAACTGTTTTAAACTCGAGTAAATAAGTCCGTTAGCGCTGTCGCGTTTCCTTTCTTTCTGCTTGGGAGCCCGTCGAATGCAATTGTTTCTTATTTTATTCGTACGTGACCCCGAAAGTTTTTTCCTTTCGACCTCAGTGCCCAGATACAGCATGTCGTCCCGGGCCTCCAGTGCTGCTGCGCGGCTGTACGTATGCGTTCGTTTTCGTCGGCCCGTGCCAGCTAGAGGGTTCTGTCCGCGTAAAAACCCTGTCGAGTGTCATCCCGGTTGGCGCCGCGGTCGCCTTCCTTCGCTAGCCTTGACCTGTTGGCCGTTTTGCGGTCGCGCACCATCGCGGGGCACCAGCTTTTCTAGGGGGAAGGATGGAACTTGGTGCTGCAGCCGCCAGTGGCATCCACTGAGCGGTGCACATGGCGCAGGTCCAGGTTGCGCTGCATATCGCGAACGGCGCCACTTGTAAACACTTGGCAGGCTGCAGAGCTTCACCTTTAACATCCGCGTCTCCATTGTCGAAGAAAAGCGACGGCTTCTGCTGAAGTTTGGATTGCAGTTATTTTTCTCGGACAATTGACGGAATACGGTTCACGAAGTCCAAACTAATTAGGAAGTTGACCTTGCATTTTCACTGCCAAAGATTACGCCTCGAATCGATGCATGTTGTCTTGTCTGCTAAAGATAATTTCTAGCCTCGGATGAGTGCAGTATATGCAAGAGAGAATGCTTGCTCAGTGTAGCCTGGACCATCTTTGTACACTGCTGTATCAGTGCTGTCCAATACAATTATGGATCGACCTCTGACCCAGCCGTCTGCGCGCTCGTGCTCATGTCTACCCCACAGCGATCGTTGTTGACCTAACGCTGACCATGGTAGTGCCACTCCATCATAATTTACCCTTCATCCAACTGGCTCTTCAAGTACAGCCGTGTTCTCTGAAGTATGACTTGATTAATGCTTTTTCTATGTGTTATCATGTTTGTCTTTGAATGGTGAACGCAACACATTTTATCTTCTCGTAACATGTATTTTTCCTTTCAGAATTATTTAAAATGACAATAAAAAGAAGTAACGTGTGTTTACCCTTTGGGAATGCCTTGAAACATTTTTCTAAATGTACGTGTGACTTATGGAAATATTGTTTAGCCCATATTTGTGTTTATAAATGGCATTGTTATATCTAACAGACTCTCGAGAGTATCGCTTAATAAACCATTTCATATTTATTCTGTTCTTTAAACCACGAGCTTCCTTACACCGATTCTTGAATGTTTTGCGTGATGTTGGTAACCTCTGTGCCGCCGAGGTAACGTATTTCCACCTCTCTGTTTCCTACCCTTGCCAGACCTAAGCTCCAGCAGTCTGGCGGCCCAGTATGAGAGTCTGCGCTGGGACCGCTCATCTCAGAACGGCCCGTCCTGCTCGCGCGTCGCTGTGACTCCGAGCCGGCTCGGCTGGGCGGCCCCCTTCTCTAAGGACTCTGAGGCGGCCTCAGCAGCAGCAACGACCACGACCTCACCGGAATGCGCGACTGATGCTAGCCGTGGCACAGAGAGCACCAGCATGGCATCATCAGCTAATCGCAATGAAGGAGCAAGCTTGAACCAATACAATACCTCGAACGGCAACAGTGGTGGAACTAAGACTAACAGTAATAATAATCACGGTACCAGCGGCAACGGTGCTCCTGGAAACTGGGACTTTGGGGCTAGGGTCGACGGGAAACACGACGGGGGGAGTAGGTCATGGGGTAACGGAGGGGGCGGCACTCCCTCTCCGAGCGCCAATTCGGCAGCGTGGCCTTCAGTGGGGGGCGAGGGGTCGGGCTTGAGCGCACCTGCGGCTGGTGCCGCCCAGATGCACACTTCCTCCGCCGGGAACGGAAATGGGGGCCACGGCGGCACGGGGCGCGGCGCTGTCAGCGGTTGGGGGAGCGGGGGACGAGGCCGCGATCCCACCGGCCAATCCGACGGGCCGCCCCGGGGTGGAGCCATTGCCCCCGACAATCACGGACCAAGCAACAGCGCCGGGCGCGATGCCGGCACCAGAAACGCCGGCGGATCGAGTGACGCGCCGAGCACGGGCGGCGGTTGGGGGCCAAGTTTGCCGCCGACCCAGGACGACCGGGACGGAGCCGCCAGCGGTGATGGAGGCGTTGGGGGCTCTGGCTGGGGCTCTGCTCCCAATTCGCAGGCCATCGAAGCCAACGGAAGACCTTCCTCGGACGCCGGAAAAGACATTTCGGACAAGAATAAATCCTCGGGCGGAGACTCCTGGGGAGATGGTGGAGGCTGGGGCAGAGCCAATCAGCCGAGTTCTGGTTTCAGCGGACCAATTGAAATGTGGGGCGGTGGCGGTGCAAACACCGGCGGTGGCGGCGGTGGCGGAGTTGTGGGCGAGTGGCGGAGCGGAGACTCGTCTAGCCAACAACATTCCAGCAACAGCAATGTTGGCAGCAACAATGGCGGAGGCAACGGAGGAGGCAATAACGGGGGTGGCGGAAAGTTTGGTTCCGGTGGCGGCGGTGGCAGCGGTGCGATGTGGGGTGGTGGCAGCAGTGGAGGTGCTGGAGGTGCTGGTGGTCCTGGAGGTGGCGGTGGTGGTGGAGGAGGAGGAACATCGGGCTCGGGCCCTGGCAGCGAATGTGGGAACTCATGGGGGGGTGGGAAACCCGGTGGGAACGGAGCCCACACTGGCAGCGAGGGCAGCTCGGACAGCAGTGGGGGCCGTGGTGGCGGTGGTGGCGGCCGGGGAGGGGACAGAGGCAGCGGTAGCGAGAGGGGGAGCGGTGGTGCTCCGGCACGGCGCGGCCGCCGCGGGAAGTATGACACGCCGATCGGCCTGGAGCCGGAACGGCCCGAGACCCTGCCCATCCCTAAGGACGTAGACCCCCGCGTCCTGTCCAACGCTGGCTGGGGCCAAACACCCATCAAGCAGAACACCCAGTGGGATGTGGAGAAGTTTGAACGTGAGAAGGCCCATGCCAAGCCCTCAGACGGCTGCGTAGAGCGAGCTGGTGGAGTTGGTGGCACCGCCCCTGGACCTGGCTGGGGTGGCGGTGTTGGCGGCGGCGGCGGCGGAGGTGGCGGAGGTGGCGGTGGTGGCGGTGGTGGTGGTGGTGAAGGAGGAGGCAGTCGAGGAGGCCATCATCACCCCCAGCACTCGGGCCCTGGTTGGGGAGCGAGCAAAGGCTGGGACAACAGGTGCGTCGTGCCCACAGCTGGGCCTTGTGTGCGCGCGGCGCAACCACGGTGAGCGATAGGGGGTTCGGTTATAAAGGATCATGGTCCCGAGAGTGGTGACATGGTTCTTTTAAATGCATTTTCAGCTAGTTATTTGTTGAGTGAATATTTGTGCGCATTTATTTTTAAAGTGTCCTTTTCTGGCCTTCCCTAGTCTGGTTGTTGACTCTCTGAACTCCCCTCCCACCGGAACCGCAGCGTTGGCTACGATGAGGGCCCTGGCAGCTGGGGAGATGGGCCCCCACGCAGGCCGCAGCAGGGTGGCTGGGGCGGAGGAGATGGCCCCAAACAAGGTCCTGGTGGCGGCGCAGACAGGGGGGGAGGCTGGGGAGGCTCAGGTGGTGGATGGGAGCAGCAGGCGCAGCCTGGCATGACCCAGTGGGGGGGCGCGGAGCCATCGAAGAGCATGCCCCCTCAACCGTGGGAGGGGGGCGGCCCCGAGAGAAACTGGAACGGAGCCAAGGCTGGGCCTCACAACTGGAGTGGGGAGCCCAAGCACGGCTCTCGAGGACCACAGGTGCCATGTTCCACCCGGCTTTTTCCATCGCTGTCATCGCTGCACTGTTGTCACAATGTCGCTTCTGTAGCTGTTATTCTTATGGTTGTAGTTTTGGGTCCCTCGCGACCGGAATCGTGACATAATGTGGTTGTTAGTCTGTTTTGGGTTCCTATTTAATTACCAGAACACAGACATGAGTAACCCCAGCCAGTGTGATTTTAGTTCCACGATAAATCTTTACCGAATGATTTTCTTATCCTATTTCACGTGCAATAATGTATTTAAGTTAATGAAAGCATTTATTAAGTTATAGGTCGATAATTTGTCAATTACAGTTCTATATTAGTTCTGCCAAAATCATGGGATACGTGTTGAAATTCCCAATAACAAAATACGTAGCTTTGATTTCTAGTTGTCAAACAGCAGTTGTCTCCTCCCCCACCAGCGGTGGACAGTGTAATGACCTTTGTCATTGTATGTTTGCAGAGTTGGGAAGGTCCCCCCAAGCCAAACCTGCCGATGTGGGCCGAATCCTCCGACTTAGGCGGCCCTGGCTCTTGGGGTGGCCCTGGTGCCATGGGTCCAGGCCCAGCAGGGCCAGGCGGTATCCCGGGAGGGCCCATTGGGCCAGGGGGCGGTCCTCTCGGCGGCGGCGGCGGTGGCGGCGGCGGCAACGGCGGCGGCGGTGGTGGTGGTGGTGGCGGCGGCGGTGGCGGTAGTGGTGGAGGGAAAACCAACGCTGGCTCCGGCTGGATCGGAGGCCCGATCCCGGCAGTGGCTCGGGAAACCGAGGCTGAGTCCAGTGGCTGGGAGGAGCCATCACCCCCTTCACTGCGACGCAAGAATGAGGTGGACGACGGCACGGCCGCGTGGGGCGACCCCACCGCCTACAACTACCGTGGTGTCAACATGTGGGAGAAGGAGAACATGGCGGCTGGAGGGGGCGGTGGCGGCGCTGGTGGGGGAGGGGGCGGCGGCCCCCCACCTGACCTGGGCAAGGAGAGAAAGTCTCCCAACGCCCCCAGCGGTGCGTGATGGGGTTTGTGCGGTCACTCCACAGGAAATGCACTCATGATTTATACTTTTTAAAGGTACATTTTGGCTTACGACCAAATGAACTAAACTTGGATGAGCCTGGTTAGTACGTGAATGTGAGACATTGGTTTGATTTGAGGCCATAAGGTGGCCAGGTGGTTGCTGTACAGCAGTGGATTGCATCTGTACTGGAGCTTTTAGTGTCGCCCCCGTTGATTGAGTAGTTATTTTGACGCACACCAAACGTTCATTATTATAGAAACGGTAAAAAATCCCAACGACCCATTTGAAAACGTCTTCAGGCTTGGTGAGATTTGCCTGAGTAGTCAAAGGACATTAATATTTTAAAAGTGAAACGCATTTGTGATGCCGGACGGCATCGGTGCATGTGCCATGTCCGGCGGGCTCCATCAGTGCCATCCCCCTGGTAAACTCTGACCCATGGCCTCCATGCCATCTCCAGGATGGGGTGACTCGAAGACGGATTCGGGCTCCTGGGGTGACCCCACATCACCCGTAGACAACGGTACCTCGGCCTGGGGACGCCCCCGCGAGGGTGGCAATGGGGGCGAAGGTGGACGAGGAGGGGGTGGCGTGGGTGGTGGGGGCCCAGGCGGCGGTGGCTGGGCCAACCCTGACTCCAGCTGGGGCGGACCCAGCAAACCAGGTGGGGCGACAGTGGGCACCTGCAGTGAGGGTGGGCCACAGTTTCACTTGCGCACATTCCTGTGGTTCCTTCTGATGTGCGCGCACGTGCGTGGGTGTGCGCTGTGCACGCAAGTCCCGTCTTGTCTGCGCGTCGGTGCTCGTTTCGCGGCGTTGCGTGTTATCTCAGTGCTCTGCCGTCTGCTCGTCTATGTTGCAGGCGGCTGGGGCGGGAGCCGGGAAGACCCAGATGCGCCAGGCAGCCGCCACTCGAGTTGGGAGGAGGAGGATGGCAATGAGATTGGCGTGTGGCATGGAGGGGGAGTACCCCCCCAGGATGGGCCCTCATATGGCCCTGGCTCGAACAACTGGGGGGGTCCTGGTGGCAAGAGGCTTGGCCCCAAGGTGAGCGCATCGTGTCTGGCTGGGACGAGCTGATCGCAGTCATCCTCGCGTCACATCATGGCTCCAGGCATCCTCTCCTAAATGCCTTCTCTTGGTATGCTTTTCGGTAGACCCCATTGCCGTTAGGAAGGAAATTGGCTCAAAGAGATGTAACGATAGGAACCCATTCCATGATTCGATGAATTGTCGTGATTTGATTTTAGAATCTGATTTTGTTTTGCCCTGCTTGCCATCATTGCATGTGTTATCCACGATGACTGCACAGATTCCATAAATGCATGGGAATCTCTCAAAGAAATATTCTTGCATATGATCTGATGCCCATAATGTGAATGGAAATCTCCATAGCTCTCTCGTTACATTCCTTCTGAGGTTACGTGTGGTCAAATAACCCCACGACCCTTACAGTGAGGGTTGGTTGACAAACTAGCTGTGCATGCAATGCTCTACAGCAGCGCGCATACTGAGTGTTTACACAACACCGCTGCCTCGGAGCCAGGGCTGTGCTGATGACGACGGCAGTGGCCCCTGCTGCTCTCGGGGCCCACGTGACGATCTTGGGTGGGGGAGGGTCATTCGGCGACGCGGCTCTCGTTTCGGGAACGCCACGGTTGTTGACTCCGTGTCTCCTTGCAGGGACCCATTAAGAACTCCACCCGGCAAGAGGAAGCCTGGGTGAACAGACTCATTAAGCAGCTTACTGACATTGGCTTCCCGGTAAGGACGTTTCTTATATTTTTTGGCTCTTTTGCTGTGTGCGCTTTATTGCCGCTCCATCGGGGGGGACTCGCTCGAATTGACGGGACGACCCCCGTATTCCCCGCCCACGTGACTCGGGGAGGGGTTTTTGCAGCATTGTTTGAAACGTGTGCCTGGATTTCTCTGCCATTTTCTACAGAGGCCGGACACATAGCAGTGTCCTTTATACGACCTACATTGCATGACTGTGACAAATGTTTTCTCCGGGTTCTCCGCTTTCCTTCCTCATGAGGCCACACACTAATGAATGGAATTGCCAACATGTCCCAGAGCAGGGACTCCGCTGTTTTAAAGTTGTAACACTGACACTTTCCTAAGTCAGTAAATTACATTTTTTTATTAGCCATCTGTGCATTGGCACTGACTGTAGTGATTTCACACACAGCTCTATAACATGTGAAATGATGAAAACAATACACGGATAAATATTGCTTGAAACTGGCATTTAAATATCAGGCCATCCATCAAAATAATCCTTTCAATTTTACACCCTAAAATTTGCACAAACCACGATTTCATTTATTTACAAAAAGTTAATTTAGTAATAACCACATTATTTACAGTAATGCAAGTAAAAAAAAAATGTTGTTACAGAACCCCTGCACTGTGTAGCTAATGCAAGCAAAGGCATTTGTCGTGCGTAATTAAATTGCAAATTATTTCTGAAAACTCATCAACCAGACGCTGGTACCAAATAAACCAGTAATTTACGCATTATCCACACACATGCGCTTACACGGGCAGGCACACGTCAGTGAATCGGGCACGGGCGGTTGATTCTCGGGAGTCGCTGAGGCTTTTGTTTTGTCTGGCTTGCAGCGAGAACCTGCGGAAGAGGCTCTGCGTGGAAACGGCATGAATGTGGACAAGGCCATGAGTAAGACATCCCATTCACCATACTCCCCCCTGGCACCAAGCCTGCATTCGTACGCGCGTGCACTGAACGCGCCCATACTGTGTGGCGTCACGCACCTGTACACGGCACGCGCATGTGCAGACATGTGCGGTGTGCATCCTTGTATTCTACGTGCTTACGTACACCTCACGCGTACACTGCATGCGTACACAGTACGTGCATATGTACCAACTAGGTACACGTGCTATGTGAATACACACTACGTGCGTGCATTCGTACTGCATGTTATGTATGTGTGTATATATACACAACATGCACTTGTGCAATGCATGCACACACCCACTATTTTCATACACTGCACACACAACACTCTAAATGCATACACACTGCATGCAACACTCTACATGCATGTACCCACAACATTTTCTCTGGCCACACGATGCATACCCACTACATTCACATACCTGCATGAAAATATTTTCATATGCATATGTTGCATGCAAACACGTTGCAATACTCATTAAAAAAGTGTTATCTTTTACTTATTTGATAATGTAATTTTTTGCTGGCCATTGTGTTAAAAAATAACACTTTGCGTGCATACACAGTACAACTCTGCACACACTGCATGCATGCACAATCACACCTTGCATACACATACATGCAATGGAAAGCAGACTGCGTTTGTGTATCCCAGGTTGGAAATACTGAATGTAACAGATCACTGTTGTCGGATGTTATTGGGTTTAGCATCATATGACATTTTAATTGAGTGGTTCCCCCCCCACCTCCCCTCCCCAATGAGAGGCCATGCTCTCACGCTCTCGCGCGACGGCGCTCTCGGTCCGCGCCGAGTGCTCTAGTCGCCTTGAGCCACCAGCGAGGTTCGTCCTCCCCCCCCCCCCCCCCCCCCGTTTACCCAAAGTCTCTTGTCGCGGCGGAGGATGAGCAAACGCGTGTCTTGTGTCCCAGGCGCCCTCTTGGATCGCAAGGGCGACCTTGACAAGCACCGACCCGAGTTCAACGGGGTCATCGGCAAGGGCTTTCCGCCCCGCCCCAACGTGCACAAAGAGTCTTCCTTTGACCACCGTTCTTCCTTCTTCGACAAGGTTTGTATTCCGAGCGGACGGGAGCGCGCGCCTCGCGCGCTTGGCTCCCGTCGGGCAGAGTGTGCCGAGACGGGAGAGGTGAATGCTCGCCACTGTTTGCGTCAGTTTTCTATTAAGTGTTGCTGTTGTTTAGGTTGCATTTTTGTGCTTTGAGTCCGTATGCTTGATGTTTCAGAATGCTCTAACCCTGTCCTAATTTCTCTCCTTCCCCCTTTGTGACCTTCCCAATTATCACCCCATTATAATTGATGCATCTGACCTTAACTCTGGCTGTCTTTATATTGAACATTTTTGGCCATTCCACTTTCTGCTGAATGGGTTTGCTGGTTCATTTCTTATTTTACCCCCTCCTGGCCTACCTGGGCGCCCGCCTCCTGCGATGTTTCCCTGTCCGCCGTGGCCGATCTGCTCACGTGGCTCCCACCCTGCCATCACGCTGCCACCCCCACTCTGCCTGCTACCTCCCTCTCCACCCTCCCTTCAGCTGAGCCTGTCTCTAACCAATCCGGACGGGGCATTTTGTGACGATTGCCCCGCCTCCCCGTTCCTGCCTTCCCCCGGTATCAAACTACCCCAGGCCACCCCCCCTGCTCCTCCTGGTCAATCGCTCGCCCCCCTCAGCCTATCCAATCAGAACCCTGCTTCTAAACAGGTAACCTCGAGATACAACCCCCCCCCCCACGCTTTACCCCACCACCCACACTTCCCTGCTGCCCCTACCCACCTCGCTCGAACCGCATTGATTGTTGGAGGGGGGTCATCTGGGTCGGGGGACGCCGGGCGGAAAGCGGGCACTGATGTGCACAACACTCCGCTCTCAAAAGTATTGCTGCAGCCTAGTGGTGGTCATAACCAAATCCTAATTCAGCCACACCCCGACCCCCAACTGTCCCTAACCCCAATTCTCACCCCTATCCCGAATGTTAAGCTTACTGAACCCCTATTCCTAACTTTATCCTCTTAAACCCAACCCTACCCTTAATCCAAACTCTTATCTCTAATCCCAACCCTAACCCTGGCCCTTTCTTTATTCCTAACCCTTTTACAACTCTTAACCCATAATCCTATCCCCAACATTAGCCCCCCCCCCCCCAACCAATTCGAACAGGCTGCAGTAGCATTTTTCACAGCAGTATGGGTTAAGATCGAGAGGGGGCTGCACAAGAGCCTCCACGAGTTTTCACGGCGTCGTCCCAGTTGCCTGCCCGGCATTCCCCACTCGGAAGGGTTGGTGGGGGAGGGATTTTCCTGCGCTGCTTCACCGCGCTTGCCGCTGCTTAATTCAAGTAGACTTTGCCGCCGTTGGGGCAGCCCATTGCTGGGTTCAGGCCACAGGGTTGCCATGGTTTCTAGAAGATTTCCGTTTGCGGTTTGAACCTTGCCACTAAACGCACGGTCGGCGGTGGGGGGGGGGGGGCTTGTTGGGGTGCAGCCGCTTTGAAAATTGCAGGTGTGGCCTGCGCAGGTTATTGAAGCTGTCAGTCGTACGAATGACTGCACCAGCCACGTCGTGGCGAACCTGACAACAGTTTCCCTCTTCTTGCACCCCCCTTGCCCCCTCCATGCAGCCATTGGCTCAGGATTTTAGTGTCTGTGCTGGCGATGCGGGAATGGTATTTTCTGCCTCGGTGTTTCTGTACATCTTCTGCGAGCTGCACCTGCGCGGCAATTATGACGGCTCGTGCGCTCGCACGTGGTTGATCTGACGTGTGGCATCTTATAAAGGGGGCCTGTCGTCATGTTGTGAGCCGTCTGGGGAAAACCCAGGAGGAGCGCGCGGTGTTTGTGGCAAATACGAGAGCACTCACTGTCACGTGGCCGTCGCCTCGCGGGCGATGGCAAGACCAGCGTGGCTGTCTGGTGCGTGAGAATTCCCGGGGAAGGTCTCCTGTGCCTCGCAGAGCCACCGCCTGAACACGGTCCTATTTTATAATGGAGCACAACGTGGCGTTAATAATTTTTCACGCCACGTTGTCCTCCGACACCACCTCGAGGGCGCATGTGGAAGTGTTGTGGCGCTCGGTAACATGGCATTCCTCACCACAGCCTCCCGTGTTGTCTCACGCCACCCTCAGGTTGGCTGCGGTGTGACAGGATGAGCCTGTGGCGCCACCCGTAGGTCAATGGGCGTGCATTTAAATGTTTTCTCGTGCGACTTGTTGGGTTTTTGACAGTGTTGCTCGAGGTATCCATAATGATCTCAGAAGCCTGTGGTGGTTGGGTGGATTTAAAATGGGATACGCAATGTATAATGTGTGTGCGGTTTGTGTATTGTATACAAGTGGTTCGTATCATATTTTGTGTACAGTAAACGCATTGTGTGTTTTGGGTTTCTGCGGTGTGTGTAAGTTCGCACGTTGTGTAAGCGTACGTGCGGTGTGTGCCATGTGTACACCTTGTGCTTGTAGTGTAACGCGTGCATGCGTGTACACGAGGATTCATGTGTGTATGCTTTGTGCGGCATTTGTTCTTCTTGCGCAAGGTGTACACGGGATATCTAAGGTGTGTGCACTGTGTAACGTGTAATGTCTGTGCTTGATGCATACGACATAGACGTGATGTGAGCTGTCTGGCTGCCATGTATAAAATGAGCACGTCGTGTAAATGGTGTGTACAGTGAGGGAAAAAATATTTGATCCCCTGCTGATTTTGTACGTTTGCCCACTGACAGAGAAATGATCAGTCTATAATTTTAATGGTAGGTTTATTTGAACAGTGAGAGACAGAATAACAACAACAAAATCTAGAAAAACGCATGTCAAAAATGTTATAAATTGATTTGCATTTTAATGAGGGAAATAAGTATTTGACCCCCTCTCAATCAGATTTCTGGCTCCCAGGTGTCTTTTATACAGGTAACGAGCTGAGATTAGTAGCACACTCTTAAAGGGAGTGCTCCTAATCTCAGCTTGTTCCTGTATAAAAGACACCTGTCCACATAATCAATCAATCAGATTCCAAACTCTCCACCATGGCCAAGACCAAAGAGCTCTCCAAGGATGTCAGGGACAAGATTGTAGACCTACACAAGGCTGGAATGAGCTACAAAACCATTGCCAAACAGCTTGGTGAGAAGGTGACAACAGTTGATACGATTATTCGCAAATGGAAGTTGCAATGATCATGAGAACGGTGAGGAATCAGCCCAGAACTACACGGGAGGATCTTGTCTGATCTCAAGGCAGCTGTGACTATAGTCACCAAGAAAACAATTGGTAACACTACGCCGTGAAGGACTGAAATCCTGCAGCGCCCGCAAGGTCCCCCTGCTCAAGAAAGCACATATACATGCCCGTCTGAAGTTTGCCAATGGACATCTGAATGATTCAGAGGACAACTGGGTGAAAGTGTTGTAGTCAGATGAGACCAAAATGGAGCTCTTTGGCATCAACTCAAATTGCCATGTTTGGAGGAGGAATGCTGTCTATGACCCCAAAAACACCATCCCCACCGTCAAACATGGAGGTGGAAACATTCTTTGGGGGTGTTTTTCTGCTAAGGGGAAAGGACAACTTCACCGCATCAAAGGGACGATGGATGGGGCCATGTACCGTCAAATCTTGGGTGAGAACCTCCTTCCCTCAGCCAGGGCATTGAAAATGGGTCGTGGATGGGTATTCCAGCATGACAGTGACCCAAAACACACGCCCAAGGCAACAAAGGAGTGGCTCAAGAAGAAGCACATTAAGGTCCTGGAGTGGCCTAGCCAGTCTCCAGACCTAAATCCCATAGAAAATCTGTGGAGGGAGCTGAAGGTTCGAGTTGCCAAACGTCAGCCTCGAAACCTTAATGACTTGGAGAAGATCTGCAAAGAGGAGTGGGACAAAATCCCTCCTGAGATGTGTGCAAACCTGGTGGCCAACTACAAGAAACGTCTGACCTCTGTGATTGCCAACAAGGTCATGTTTTGCAGAGGGGTCAAATACTTATTTCCCTCATTAAAATGCAAATCAATTTATAACATTTTTGACATGCGTTTTTCTGGATTTTGTTGTTATGTCTCTCACTGTTCAAATAAACCTACCATTAAAATTATAGACTGATCATTTCTTTGCCAGTGGGCAAACGTACAAAATCAGCAGGGGATCAAATACTTTTTTCCCTCACTGTACATTGTGGTGTGCAAGATGTACGGTGTGTACATTGTGTGTAACTTGGTGTCTTATCTGGGCGGCCATGTTGCTCTGCAGAGTGGACTGGGCATGATGGGCGGGGGGGGAGCCCCCTCGCGGCTCCTGCAGCAGCCCCAGAGCCTCCCCCAGCCAGGGCTGCGGGCCCAGGTCCCTCCGGCCCACATCCTGCCCACTCAGGTGCGTTCCCCCTCACCACACCCATCGGAGTATTGACAATTTAGATATAATTAGACCCACATAAACAGAAGCACATGGGGGGCAATGGATGTGTGTATATACTACTGTTTTATTGAAGAGGAAAAGTCTTATTGGCAGAGGAGAAGAGGAGGTTCATGAGCCTGTACCTGAACGTAGGTGGGGAGTGGCCAAGTGGGGCTCGTGTACCAAGACATCGAGGGTAGTTGTGGAGAAGGGGCAACCCCCCACGGGGAAGGTGATAGAAAGCATTCGTTGCTGTAATGGAGAGCCCATGAAGCAGAGTATGGTAAGATGAGACGGGGTAACCTCTTGATCTGTGACTGGATTGAATCTGACCTGCGGCTGTGTCTTGACGAATGTTTGCGTGTTTCTCTGCGGCAGGTTCAAGCACAGCTGCTGCAGTATGGCTTCAAGAACGGCACCCTGAACCCAGCCTTGCTTGCGCTCATCCAACCCCAGATGACCCCACAGCAGCTGAACCTTCTTAACCAGCTCACGCAGTTGCAAATGGTAAAGTCACTGGGGGTCGCGGCTGTTATGGAACGTTCCTTGCCTTTCCCATTCCCCCACCCTCCGCCCACCCAACCCCTGTCACGCGTACGAATCGATGGCGTACCCCGCCCCTTCCCTGGGGATCGCGTCACATGACCTCATGTTTGTGCTCAGTCCGCCGAGGGTTCCTCCCAGACACGACGCCCACACCAACGAATTAAATTATTTTTGGCGCAATCAAAACGGCGTTAAGCGATGCTTGCGTGTGCATTTTTTCCCCCTTACATTTTCTGCTGCGCTAGAGACTCCGCTGCTGCTGCTATTACTTGTTCGTTATCGCGTATTTGCGCGTGTGTGTGACATGGAGCGGAGTGGGATCGAGCAGCGGCGGTGGCGCCCATGTGTCTTACTGTACCGCTGGTCTTCTCGTTAAATGGACGAGGTATCGTTTAGATGCTTTCTCTACTGTGGGTTTCTGTTGTAGACTCATGGTAAAGCGCACACGGCTGGAAATCTCAATCCAAAAAGTCCCAAGTGTTTCTCTGCCCAAATGAGCACGGGACAGTGCTCACTTCGTAGGACAACCACTGTTGACTTGTCACAAAGTGGTAAACATTTTATCGACCCTCGGAGATATGAAGCGTTGAGTTAACACCCAAAAGACAGTAGAGCTCACAAGATCCTGATTGACAGCTTATACGCTCTAAACCACTGTGCCACCCGGCCATATTCTCGACCGTATGGATGGAAACCAACTTTAATCTCTGAGGTCCTCATCCCAAGTTTTCTGCAAGTATGTGTTCTGAGTAGTGGAGTGTAATCACCACAGGTTTTCCTCAACCTTAATCCACGCTGGTTATGAAGTAAACCCACCAATATGCAGTGGGTAGCAAAGGGCAATGCAGAAAAACCCATTATTGTATGCTGCCCATCTTTGCCAACCCGCACTAGCAAGCGTAGTGAAGTACAGTAATTTTGCCTCCAATTGCATTGCGTAGGTAGACCCTCATTCAGCAGTGAATTAACAACGGGCTACACGTGCACAAACCTAGTGCTACTTTCATGCTGCGCGGTTCACCTGCGCTCATGTGACACTCGCAGGGCGGCTTCATGCATCATCGCCGAGCTCCCCCCTTGTTTGTTCCCGGCACGTGTGACAACGTCCCCTCTTCACTGTGTACCCCCAGGCGTACCAGAGAATGCTCCTCCAGCAGCAGATGCTTCAGCAGACCCAGAGGCACGTGTCGGCCCCCATCCGGCACCAGCAGGAGCAGCAGGTGAGCAGAGGTGGCGGGGGAGGGGTGGCGGTTTGCCAGCGTCAAGATTAGACCCGGTGCCTTGGTACATCCTGACCCACATTGTGTCCCGACTTAGCATCAGCGGTGGATTTAACGACTGCAATCCCCTCCGTTCTGCGTTAGAGCTGTCACTTGCAATGAATCAGGAATTCTAGTGATTTCCCAAGCGTTAATGTATTCTTGACTTGGCACAATGAACCTGATTCTTCGTCATTGCTGATATTTGTGTCAGGTGACATCTGAATTGGTTCTAGACCTCTTCAAGATTGACTCGTCATTGAATGGTTACCTGGTGCAGTATGGCCACACTGCCCCCTTATTAGGTGTGCCGCACTGGCCTTAATGGGTGCTTTCTAATAGCACTTGCCGCAACAGCCTGCTAAAGGATCATCATGTGGGACGTTTTTTTTCAGGCGGCCCGCACCATGATGTCCATGCAGCAGCAGATCCACCAGCACCAGCGGCAGCTGGCGCAGATGCTCGGCATGAAGCAGCCACCCCCGCCCTCCGGTCCCCCGGGTCCGAGCGGCGGCACTGCCGGTGCCAGCGGTGGTGGTGGTGGCGGCGGCGGCCTTGCCGGCGGCGCGGGCCCACTAGGGCCCCCCCACCACCACCAGCCGCAGCACCCGCACCACGGCAGCACCAACAACCTCCACCACCAGCACCACCACCACCACCACCACCCACAGCACCACCACCATCCAGGCCACAAGGCGGGCATGCACGGGCACCCACACGGGCTCGGAGGCCCTGCCGACGGCCACGCCAAAGACGCGCAAGCGCCAGCTTCTTCCTCCATGCCCATGCAGCACGGGGGCTTCCCCATGCCCTCACCTACTGGCCCACCCAGCTTCCCCATCGGTAAGCAGCAGTATATTCCTTTTCCCCCTTTTGTCCACAGTTGCTTGCTGTGGGGTGTGTTTATTTACGCTTTTCAACAAAGGTCGTGAGTTAATGCATCCGGGGAAGAACTATAGCTCGCATAAAGATAATCCAATATCAACAAAACTTTAGTGTAAAGTTGTTGTGTTATTTGGAACTTACCCTATCGAAAATTGGATACATTTATAAAAGATTTGAAAACATACAAATGTGTTTTGTCCTGGTAGTAACCCGTAGGCTTCTCTACTGCAAATTCAATACTTCCGAAGATAAATTCATTTTTGGAAAGTGTTGCATAATCCATGCGTATACATTATTTTTCCTTGCTGGTTTATAAATAGTTTTCACTTTTTTAATTCTGCAACTCTGGCAGAGCAGTGCATTGCCTGATATTAGATAACGTCCTGTGAAAGGAGAACACAGAAATGTTTCCGAGATCCGTTCAAGTGACCTGTTTTTATTTCTCAAACTAGGGGGCAAATGTTCCCTCATGCCTTGTTACATACAAATGTGTGTCACGTGGCAATCGAACTAAATGTTTTACCTCGTCAAGATGGAATCTAGCCAAATGAAAAAAACAAATGTATTGATGCTTATTTTGTACAGTCAATGGGGGAACCAGGCTGAGACTAAACTCACTATACTTGAGATTATGGTTTTTGGGTCACCACACCTGGCCACTCACCCCTGTTAAGCCGTTGAACAGGTTTTATGTTCTCTTTGACAAGTGGGTGTTTTATAATTATTATCATTGTTAAAAAGTTGGAGACAAAGTCGGAACCTATTAATTGAAAAACCCAGGAAAGGCCAAGCTGAGAGTGGTGAGTGGTTGACATCCCCGTGACTTCAGAGACCACATGAGGTGGGAATACGGAGGATAGTGATGAGATCCAGAGATTAGCACTACGGGGCATGGAGCATTCTGACCAGCTCATGCAGTTTTCCTGGAAAAATATTTTATACAAACAAAGAAGCCGGCATCGGGTTTTGGAAATAAGATCGTTCTAACGGTGAGATAAGAGGAGGCGGGTAACGTGAGGAGGTCACGAAGGCTTATACGAGCGACCTGCTCGCGTGTGGCAGTGGTGGCGGCGGCTTTGCTTTCTGCGTGGGTGGCGTTTGCTGCGGTTGAGGAAGGTCGTGTGTGCGTGCGTGTGCTGCCTCTTCTGCAAGGTGGCTCCTTGCCCATGGGCGGCGTGGTGGGAGACCTGGGCAGCAAGGACCTTCCCCAATCACGGTTGCATCAGTGGACCATGCAGCCCAGTGGAGGGCCCGACCCCTTCCCCGGGGGACCGGGATCCCCTCTTGACCCCAACCCCTCCAAATTCGGTGAGCAACTGCTCCGCGGACACCGCTTTGTTGTGTTATGTGTTGCTCGCCGGACGTTCAATCACCCTTAATTTTTCCACTTTTTTAGGCCCTGGCTCAATTCCCATTGGACCGCCCCCAAAGCCCTCGCTGGATGACGGCCCCTTCAATCACTACGATCTGGGCGGTGACCCCGTCAGACCGTCTGGTTCTCTGGGTGATGGCTGGCCACGTGACAAGTCCCCAGGCGACAAGATGGCAAATGGGACCAACTCCAGCATCAGCTGGCCACCAGGTGATGCTGCCAAGCCTGACCAAACGTCCCAATACAGAACCCTCCTGAAAAGGATTCTTGAGACTCGGTGCAACGTTCATGGAAAAATGATAATTTCCAGTCCTTTGTCAATCCACTATTGGATGAGAGCCCCTCCCCATGTCCTCTTGATGAGTGTGGCGGTTGTTGAAGACGAGGAGCATAGATGTTGAAGCATAGAAGTATCCCTCAAAAATTGCTGAATTGTCCTCTGCTGGCCCACAGCCCCTGGGTATAGGGCATTATTGTTGTTATAAAGGAACTCTAGAATATTCTTGGGAAGCATGCACTTTTTTTTACCCAGCTTTCAAGAGCTAAAAGATCTGTGAAGTTGATGGTCTCTGTCGTTCCCCGTTGCTGTCCATGGCAGAGTTCCGTCCAGGGGAGCCGTGGAAGGGCCTGCAGAACATCGATCCGGACAACGACCCAGACATCACTCCAGGGAGTGTCATCGGGTCTGGCCTCACCGTCAGCACCTCGATGCGGGATGTGGATCGCTTTATGCTGCGAGACAGAAACCCCGGTAGGAAATACGGGCTTCCTTTTTCTATTCACGTCTCGTAGGACTGCGTGATCTGTCGGAAGCCAGCAATAGAGAGGATCTGTGTGGGGGGGATGCGAGGTGGTGGCATGGCTGCCGCCACCACACTGCCATCAGCGTTTCAACCTCTTTGGCACCTTGACTAACCGAGCGCTCCCTTTGTCGGCTCAACCTGAAATCGGTACTTTTTGAGGGCTTCCAGTTATGGGTCTAACTTGCATCTGTGGCACTGTCCTCCGGGCACCACAAGTGGTGCAGCCACTCCCACCGCTGCGTGCTGAGATTAGGGCCCTGTTACAGCATGAGGTCTGAGGTAGAGGTCTCCATCAATGAGACAGCGGCTAACTGGCTGATTCACATGGTGACTTACTATCTGGTTCATGTGGTGACTACCTTGGACTGGCCAACTCATTGGCTGGTTCACTTGGATCACTGGTGGGTTTTCTGTTGTAAGAATAGGTTTTACCCTTTTAACTGGCACAAAAACTGACACCTTTATTCAAGGCATCATGTTTGCAATAACCACAACACAAGCAGTCAAAATGCAAGCAGTCAAAATGCAAATGTGCCAGTTAAAAGGGTAAAACCTATTCTTATATCTTGTTTCTGGCAAAGGAGGTCTCATAATGTTTTCTGTTGTAGTTACTAGCTGGCTCCTGGTGGCTCATTGGGCTGGCTGTGGGTGACTGTCTTGCCGAAGCGCTTTGTTAATTGTTGTCTGGCCCCTTGCTGGTGGCTCTTGGTGACTTGCTCGCTTCCTTGTATGTTTGCTTACTCGGTGGCTCACTCGGTGCCTCGGGGTGGCTGTGTCAGGCCCGAGTTGCTGCAACTGTTGCTTCGCTTCTCAGCTGGGTGTGGTTATAATCTTCTCACCGTGCTTGGCTCCTCTTCTTAGGTCCCTCGCCCTCTCTGAACACCGCGCTGCCTTCCTCTAGTGCCTGGTCCTACAGTGCCTCCAACACCAGTTATGGTTATAGCAGCCCGACACCTGCACTTAACTCCTCCGGTAAGTGCCCACTCCCCCCCGGTCCTTCCTTCCTGCCGTGTGGCGTCTGCGTGCGCTTGGTTGAGGCCTACGCACAGGACATTTTACTTGGACGAGTGACGATCCACCATTCCCCTCCGTGCAATTCTATCAGCAATTGCAATTCGGTTTTAGAATGGACTTTTTTTGTCTTGTTTTTACCATCTTTGTTGAGGCCTAATAGTTAACATGCATTTAAATTACATATATACTGGAAATAGTTGATTTGTTATTCTATGCGTGCTTTGTTTGCATAAACTTTTATTTGAATCGATGTAATTATTACGGGTTTGATACCTTCAGGGAGCTCACTTCACCCGGCAGCTACCCTGTTAGTTTTTTCACGTAAGTGTCCCTGCTTGGTTGCTTCTGTTTATATGAAACTAACATCTGGTGGCACGTTTGTAGGTGCTTTTAAAGGCAAACATCAAGCGTGTTGTTTGTTTTAGAGACATTTTTACGAGCCCTTATTGTTTTCACATATGGGTGGTGTTAACAGGAAGTGATGTGCTGTACCACTCTAGCGAAGGGGGCAGGATGTAGATTGTGAACTCTGAAAGGACTGCCAGGCGGTGAAAGGAACAGTCCAAGTGAAGGGTGACGGGGGAGGTCATTGGGGAAACGGTTGTGGGACGGCAATCGAAGTGAGCTTTATCCTTGGCACCGTTGCCACCGCTGCCGTCACCCCCCTCGACACAGGCGTGCGTTTGACCGCTTGCTGGTCGTGTGTTTATTTTAAACAGCGCCGATGCTCTTGTCACCCTCCAGCCAAACCCGGTGGCGAGCTGAAGGGCAGCTCGTGGCCCGTCAGCAACACCCACACCCCCACCACGCTCACGCACGAGCTCTGGAAGGTGCCGCTCCCCACCAAGAACTCGACGGCTCCCTCGCGGCCCCCGCCGGGCCTCCCCAACCCCAAGAACCCCTCTCCGTGGGGCACGGGCGGATCCCTTGGCCTAGCCGGTGAGCTCTTGCCCTGCCCCCCTGACAGTGCCACCGTACCCAGAAGTCGCTATAATCTGTCTTTACCTAAGCAGAACAAGCTCGCAAGGCGGTCTGTGAAGGAAGCTCACGTTTTTTTGTGAGGGGCTTCGACTGTACAAGGAATATGCATTTTGTAAACACGTACGCGCAAGCAGATACGCACGTGTTGGAATGCATGTGTAGTGACTGACTCGGAAAGACTAAGAGTAGGAGGCACTCTGTTTATTAACAGCCTTAACAGTTCACACTTATTAAATAAAGCTCCCAGTCAGGACAGCTGGCAGACTGCCTGACTGACGACGCGAAGATGGTGAAGACGAAGACGGTAATGAAGACTCCAGCAGCACGACGGGATCCCACTCCAAACCACAGCCCCGAGTTCTTGCTCTGGGGGGGGGGGGGCCCTTTTATGCTCCCAGCGTGGCCTCGCTCTGCCCCGGCCCCGCCCCCTCTCTAGAACCTACTAGCGGGTTCCTGGGCTTCCCCCACGTGCCTCTTCTGTAACCTTTCCCCTACATCCCTCTCTCTGGTCTATCACGTGACCTGTCAGTCAGGGCTGCTGTAACTGCAGATCGCCTTCCCTGCGCTATGCTGCTAAGTGACCGATTCTGTCACTACACATGCATACATCCACGTGTACACATTCCAACATGTTAATTGCATCGCTTCGTGTCATAACGGTACATTAAAACAATTCTTCATATCAAGGCTGGTGCCGAAAAAATGCGGATATTACATTTATATTTCTAACAGTGTGGCAAGTTTCACAGCAATGAATCTCAGGATGTTTATACCTAACATGTTAGCATGTAAAGTGATTTCAGACCCATATATTGCATCCAAGACAGCAATAAAGTAACCTCTCCCCTCTCCAACACGGACATCATGTGTTCTCCCAAAATATTGCCGAAGCTTTTATTTCTTTGAGTGATGTGTTCCTTAGTTATTCTGCTCGTGGTCCTGCAACTCATTAATTTGTTTTCTTTGGCTGTTTGTGGCAGGGCCTGGCTGGGCTGCAGAAAGCAGTAGCTCTGGTCGAGCAAGCACCTGGCTGGTCCTGCGCAACCTTACCCCGCAGGTAGGGTAGGGGCAGCAGCTTGACACAACCGTGCACACGGTAAGGTTGTGGTGGCGGGGTTGGGGGCGTGGACTGTCTTAACAGGGCATGGCAAGGCTCGGTGGTTGACGCCGTGACAGCGGAGGCACGCAGTTTGTGTGTGCGTTGTGTCCGACAGGTGTGTACCGTGACCTGCCAGCGATCCTTTTAACACTTCACCGCCACGTAGTGTGCAAATAGCGGTTCTTTTATTTAGATAGGTGCATCCACATGTCCGTGTGATTGCACGCGGCGCACGTGTCTCGTGGATATGGAAAATAACCCCCTCTCCCACCCTTAATATATATAGTGCATTTTTAAAACTGGTTGAATGTCCTTGCTCTGAGAATTGAGTTGCAGCAACATTGGCCAATAGAGGGCACTCGATCCACAGCTTATACTCAGCAAGCCACCATCTTAACACGTGGCTATTTGTGCAACCCTTGCCGCGAGACTTACCTGCTGTATTAAAGAATTTCATGAATTGAGATTTTTTTTATCATTGATTTTACGATTTTAAAACGAACGTAATTAATCTCAAGCTTATAGATTGTTTATTCCCACACTTTTAATAATTAGTCACATTTGAGTATACTTTTCAGGAGGGTACTGCATTGGTATGTTTGGCAAACACGAAATGTTATTAGCTATGGGGAGAAACCAAAAAACCCAGAGGAAACCCCTGCGGAGCAGGCGGAGAACATACAAAACTCCACATAGGTGCCTGAGTCAGGAATCGAACCCCCGGGACCTTGCTCTAAAGCAACAAGTGTTACCACAGCAGTGAATAGGCAAAACGTTGTGAATTATACATTTTCAATGAAAACTGTACTTGGTGTAAGGATCTCCTTTCAGGAGGGCAATGTATTGAGTTTAGAATCCAACCCAGGTCCTTTATGCTGCAAAGCAGTATTCCTACGGCGTGGGTCCGGACATGCCTGCCCACCGACCCACTCTTGTGCCCGCTATGCTTGCGTGCCTGCAGATCGATGGGTCGACTCTGAGGACTCTGTGCATGCAGCACGGCCCCCTCACCACCTTCCATCTGAACCTGCCGCACGGAAACGCGCTCGTCAAGTACAGCTCGCTGGAGGAGGCGGGCAAGGCTCAGAAATCCCTGCACATGTGAGTGAATGCACGAGGGATGCATTGCAGAGAATCTGGGTGTGCCAAGTGCAGGGTCGCATGTGGGGAGCGGTAGTCTGGCGGTTAGCGCTTCTGCTCTGCGAACTCGGCGACCTGAGTTTTTTTCTAGCTCGCTGTCAACACCAGTGACGATTTGCTGAACCGGTTTGAGGCCTACCCTAGGTCGACGCAGCCTCAAATGAATACCTGGTGTGGTGTCTAAGCATTGACACTTCTGAGACAAAGATGGCCGTGGGTGGTGCTGGCTACCCCCACCTCCTGTGTCGTTCCGGCCTTCGTAGGTTCTCGCTAACAGCACTTGCCCCTACAGTCTGTTATGGCTGTACAGGGCTTCTTTGGCTTTGTGTAGTATGTGCAGGGTTGAGACTGCGTGTGTGGGAGGGCAGGGCGTGTGTGGATGTGTGCCCTTTACAGGCCACTCATTCTAATGAGTGTCCTTGCTGGTTGTGTGTATAGCTGTGTTTTGTGCTGGCCAGTGCCAGTGAGCAGATCTATCGCCATGAAGTGGCTTGTCATTTGAATGTTTGACACATTGCACTTTTTTTAAATAATGAGTGCAAATTATGATTGATAAGGCTCATCGTTATTATAACAGCGAATTGCAGGCTATTACGATTGTGACGGCGATGAACTAACGTTGCCATCGATGCGCTGTGTGTCACGACTCGCGCTCACGGTCGCGTTGTCCTTCGCAGGTGCGTGCTGGGAAACACCACCATTGTGGCGGAGTTTGCCAGTGAGGAGGAGATAAGCCGCTATTTCGCGCAGGGCCAAGCGTCGGCATCCCCCGTCTCCTCCTGGCAGCAGCCTCGCTCAGGTGTGGGCTCGGGGCCGCACGGCTTCCCTCGAGGATCTGCCCCCGGCTCCACCTCCGGGACGGGCACTTCCGTCGCATCCTCTGGGTCGTCGGGCGCCCCAGGCGGGTCGGCCGCCGCCGCTGCCGGAGGTGGCGGCGGGGGCGGCTCGTCGGAGCTAGGCCACTGGGCGAGCCAGCCGGGTGAAGCGAGCTCCCTGTGGGGGCTCCCCCAGTACCCAAGCGGGGGGCTGTGGGGCACGGCCGGGGGTGAGGAGGGGCGCGGCATCGCCAGCCCGTCCCCGCTGCTGCCCAACGACCTTCTCGGCAACGAATCCATGTGATTGCATCGCCACCTCTAACCTCATCAGCACTAATTGTGGATACATGTTTCGTTTATTCTTTTTACTCTTCGTTTTTGCATCGTGTCGTTCTTCTCAGCGTCCTGCCTGTGGCAAAAAGTGTCATGTACAGGAAGGTGTTATGGTGTTTGTGCATGTTTTTAGATTTTGAGGGTCAGGGGGACAAAAACTGTACGTTATTAACCCAAAAAACATATCAATTCAAATACTTGAATCGTACAAGCCAACAACAGTGAGATGGGAAAAAATGTGAATTGGAATTTGGTTAGTGTCATCGCACTTCAGAGGAAGTGGGGTAGATATAAATTGAAAAGATTATTCTATATATAAAAACGAAATAATTGAAAGTTAAATATGCTAAAATAAAAGTATATATGTATGAATATACATACACAATACATTTCATTCTCTACGTTGGTGTTACATGTAATGTGGGACTGTAGTGTTATCTACACGTCTGAAGGTGGTGTCTATAGATATATTTTTTGTGTGTACTTGCTGGTCCGTGTTGAATGGTGAGGCTTCTCTCTTTGCACTGATTTTGTCGGTAGCACCTCCACTATAATGGATTCCCGGTGTCCCTTTAAGAAAGGCAATACCAGGGGGGGGAGGAGTTTCTTGGGGAAGGGCGGGGTAGGTAGTGGTCCGGGCACCTCTGCTGTGTCCACAGTTCACGTGTCCATGTTTACTCAAGGATGTACTTATTACGAGCATTATTATTACTGTCGTTATTATCGTTGTTTATTTTCGACGCAATGTGTGCCCTGCGAAATAGTTGCAAATAATTGCTGAGACAGGCGCACGATAGAAGCATTGCGCCCCCTCTCTCTCTCTCGTGCTTTTCGATGGACTCGTATTATTGTCGGTAATCTTAAACGCCGTGACGTGCAGTGTTGCACCATCTTTTTTTCTAGTTGCGTATGGGGGGGGGGAAAAAAAAAAGTATACATTATAGTCTAGTATGTTACAAAATAAAACTGAAAAAAAATCTTAAACAAAAAAAAATAACAAAAACCGTACAAAAATATTTTAAAAATGAAAAAAACCGAAAAAAATACACGTGGCGTCGTCGTGTGGTGAAAGCGGTGGGTAGCTGTGATGCGTTTTATTCCCAAAGCCTGCGATAGTGCGGCTGTGTGGGGCCTACGTTCCAGTCGTACAAATCACCGTCGTGTCAGGGCGTTGCTCCTTTTATTGCCTTTTTCGGTTTTGCCATAAAGTGACGCTAAATCGCTGTGACTGACGCTAAATCGCTGTGACTGACTCTTTATGTCGAAAACTTTATATTTCCAAAGGCTTTACTAAACTTCAGAGGAGAACATACAATCAAAACTACGTTGCGGGTGACACTGGCGGAGGAGGGCGATGAGCTTTTCACTGTTTAAGTGGACGTAAGATGCAGTAGGGGGAAAAAAAAAAACAGCACTTCCATTAACAATGTGGGCAGCTTGTTTACTTGGATCGTTGAGCGAGACGATATCGGCATAATCTCGTGATGTAAAATAGGGTTGTTTTAATCACGATTGGCTAATCGCCAACCAATTTACGCGAGTGGAGGTTATAGAGAAACAGAAAAAAACGATGCTTAATATTCGTGAGGTTTTTTTTTTATGTTTAACTGTTGAGGGCGAGGCCTTTATCTTATAAACTCACCCGTGACCTCACTGTTCAACCGATGCATTTTCATACGAGGGGCAGAGAGGCACAGGGTCATGGCATCTCTCAGCAATAGTCCGCTTGGCGCGTGCACCGCTGATCCCCCCCCCCCCCCGTCTGAACACATCCCACCAGCAGCAAAGGGTTCACCTCCAGAGATGCTATCGATGCTCGCTCGCGTACCTTCGTGCACAAATGCAATTGTTCGTTTTCTCCCATTCCCATTATCATCGCGGCTTGGACCTCTCTCTGCCTTTGACAGCATCCCCACACAACTGGTGCTTGCTGTGCGTTCAGGCCTGGCAGGCGGAGGCGGTCCCGCCTTGGCACGACCCTGGGCCCTCGATTTGGGCGCGCCGGATTGGCACTTCGTAACGCAATGCACTTTTTGGTCCTGTGACGAGCGCGCGTGCGCGTTCCTTCCGTCTCGCTGACAAGTGCCACCACGGTATCTCTTGTGTCGTTATTTCGGCGAATCATTTTTGTTTTTATTAATGCTGCCTCCGCCTTGCGAGGGAGGGAAAATCGGGGGTTTGGGGGGAGGGGAATGGGTGGGGGGGGGATATGGGGGGGGGAAGATGCTTTTTGTGACGTTTATGCAACCATTGTGCTGCTGTGTGTTGGCAGCCACCGCCGACATGACAACGGAGGCGGTAGCATATTGAAACAATCCCATTGGTAATTGTGTTTTTTTATGTTGATTTGTTTTACCGCGATAATAATGATGGCCTTAGAAATTTCAAAGCCACAACAGTACTGAGCGTTTGGGAGGGGGGGGGACAGTTTTTACAATAGTGTGATGTGAGTGAGGCACACAAACGTATTTAGCTTCACGGTGCCGGCTCCTCTTGTGTTTCTTGGTTTATCAAACCACTTGCGTTTCAGTACCAGGATATACAAAACTTAAAAGCCAGAGTGTGACGCAGCCCTCACAGGAGGAGGTGGTGGAGACTGGGTGGTGTTGGAGGTGCATGCTTGGTGTGGCGTTTTAGCGAGTTAATGTGAGCACTGATTTTGGGGGAAAGGTGGAAAACTTGCACATGTAGTCAATGATGAATGGTGTACACTCAACTTCATTGAGTTTACTTAGTTTTTTTCGCTCTTGCTAAAACTGCACAAAAGCAATTATGTTACGTTTTATTTTCTTCTAAATATCGCAAGCAATGTACTGAAACTTGTAGTGTAGACGAGAGAAAAACCGCGCATTGTTCCCTGAGGAAGGAGGTGGGAAGAGGAGTGGTGGTTTGCACTTTCTTTTTTGAGAATAAACACGACGTCACGTGGGGAGGGGGCTACGGTATATTTTGGGGAGTTCGTTTTAAGAAACAAGAAGCGGTACATAAGGCCAAAAAAACGTTTTTTTCCTCTGTACAAAAATATATATCGCATGTACGTGAAGTCGCACAACAAAGAGGACCCATTATTGAGTGTTTTTGTTTTGCCGTCCGCTGTGTAACGCTTTCCCAAGTGCTTCGGTGTCTGTGTGGGTCGTGACCCCGGCGCGAGTCCGCGTCGTGGGGGAGGGCAGGGGGTCAGGGGTCAAGGGGGCGGCTGTGGCGACGCCGTGAAGCTGCGTTGTGAACCACGGCTTGATGTCGGAAAATAATCAACAGCACAAAAAATAAGAATATTAATAAAAACTAAAGTTTTATCTATGTTATTTACATTTAAAAAAATGTACAAAAAAACAAAAAAAAGTTAGAGTGAAACTAATGTTTTCGTTTGGTTCTGTGTTGAGATGTGCACAAGGGTAGGAGTTAGAGGCGAGTGGATTATGGGTAGACACTAAGCCTGTAGCATGGACCCATGATGCGTGTCGTTTTTAGCTCCATTAGCTCTTAGATAGCTGCCTTGCTTAACATTGTTACATGCATAAAATGTGATCAGCCAAGGATCATTGACATACTGTATTATGTAGTGGATGTTACTTAAACGTAAGACGTGTACAGAAGTAACGCAAATTCTGTAAGAGCGGGAAAAAAATTTAAGTGATTATACGATGACTTAAAAGGTGCCGGGGTTAGGCCAAGACCCCTCTGTTTACAACCTTTCAGGAGAACATAAACAAAAAAAGTAAATAATTAAAATACAAAAAATATCTAAAACATTTAAAGTTTACTCTTCCATCTGTGTAGACATCGAATGAAGACAGCGCTATTTATAATACAACTTTTAAAAAAAGCTCTGGGAGTTACTTTAATAGAAAAAAAAGAAAACCCAGTGGTCGTTTTATTTCTCATTTTGTTCTTTCATTGTCACGAAAAGGAAAAAAGTTAAAGACAAAAAAAATTAAGCACGGATCTCAGGAAACCTAAGCAAGCTGATTAAAAAAAATAATAATCACGTTATTGTGTACACTCTTAAGGGTCCTTAGCGGAACCAGTGTAGTGTTTTGAGCAGAAAGAAGTGCTGTTATATTTCCAGTGTGCTGCACAATATTGCGTATCTTTTACCTTCATCCAAATGCGTTGAGTTTTTTGCTATTTAGGGGGAGTGTGGGGGTGGAGGAGGGGTCGCGCGGGAGGGGTTCGAGGGGACCTTTCAGGTAGTTTGAGGAATGCAAATTGTTTGTAAAGGTGATTCGTGTCGGAGTAGAGCGGTTAGGAAAATAATTAGAACAGCTGTCAACGTCGTATACAGACAACCACCGATGGCATTCTTGCGGGAGTTTGGCGTTTTCTGTTTTTTTATGGTTCGGATCGTATTTATAACAAAACACGATTTAATAAAAAAAATAATTAAAAAATATCGTCGTGGTGTAAATAGCAACATTGTGAGGCCAAGTGCTCCTGTGTACATATTAGTAGTTTTGTGCGAGTTAAACTTTTGTTTGAGGGGAGCGAGATAGTCAACCCTCCCCCCTTTCCCTCCACAAATATGTAAAAAAAAATCTTAATTCACCACTTGTCTTGTCCGGTGTCTCGACTCCTTTACTGCTAGCATTTTACACAGTATCGTACTGTTAAGTATTCGGTAGCAGACTGGGTAAAAAAAAAAGGAAGTACAATGATATAACATATGGGAACTCATGTGTAATTAATAGAATCGTCGGCGATCAACTGCTGCCAAACGTGGGGTGGGTGTCGATGTTATTGGCGAGTGAGCTGGGCTCGTGGAGGTGTTGTGGGGGGCTGGGTGGGATGTGGGGGTCGCTGTGCTTTCACTGTGCCGCCACCATGTGTCTTGTACTACCACCGGAGCGGAGTGCCGAGTCCAGCACCGCCGGCTCGCTCTTTCGCGGCCGGCTCGCTCGCTCGCTCCTTACGAATTCTGGTGGCGGGGGGGTGGGGGAGGCACCACACGCACGCCGCCTGTCCGTACCTGTACTACCTTATTGCTTGCGGTCGCGACCGATTTAACAAGAAAGAAAATGTTAATGCGTTAATTGATTTATTTACGATTTCACACGAACCCGAACGGCGACGGTGGGTGATGGAGAATTACACAGAGTTAGTGTGGAAAAGTTAACGGTGAATTGTAAAGAATAAAACTGAGTTTTTATTTGTTAAAAAAAAACATGTTTTTGTTTCTGCTGCGACCAGGCTGCGAATGCGGGTGTCTTGATGACTTGCAAGGGAGGGGGGGCCGTGGTTTTTTGTCCAGTTGCCTATATAGTATTGATGCTGGTTTCTAAGCAAATGACAATTATAATTAACGAAAAATAAATAACTATGCATTACTGAACTGTGGAGAGACAGCTCACTTTTGTGTTAATCCTGTACCGGGAAAAGAAAATATATAAAGATGACTTTTAGGTCTTAGCGGGACGCAGCTTGGCGTGGTCTTTGTGTACGTCGTGTGTGTGAGATAACAAAAATAAGTGGCTTGCCCAATACCTTTTACCTTCGTTTTATCAACAGGTCACTTGGGGATGTAACTGCTTGAAAATGTGTTATTTAAAGGTAGCTCTTCTCTTTTCACGTTAATCGCACACTCGGTATAACTCCAGACTACTGAAATGAAGTGTATAGTTTGTGCTTTCGTGTCAACAACCAGAACGCTCACCCTCCCTCCCCCCCCCAGCTGCCTGACAAACATTTTTCAGCCTATGGAGGCTCACGTGTGCTTTTAATGGTTTTTTTTTCTCTTTTGAGTGTTTACACTTTTACACTTGTGTTTGTTTAACAGAGACACATTTTTATTTTTAAAAACAGATTGGATGTTTTTTTGTTGTTGCTGTGGTTCTGTGTTTGCGATTCGGAACAATGCCGTATGATTACCATATTTATTGCAATAGAAGATGCCACGCGCACAGGTTGTGAGCGCCCTCCCCCCTTCTCGAATTCAGGGTGCGTGGCGGCGGCGGCGGCACGAGAAACTTATACTGTCATGGTGCACTCAAGTTGTTTTTTTATATATTCAAAGTATTTAGTGACACATTACGATGTACTTATTATAATTTGCATATTTGTTTTAAAATGGGGGGGGGGGGGGAGAGAAAGCAGACCGCCAGTATTTAAGGAAAGGTTAAAAGAGGACTGCAGATTTCAAGGACGAAATTGCGCATCGTTTATTTTTCCCATCCTTTGTAGGACAGCCGTTTGTGTGCAGCAGCTGCGAGGAGATATGTTGAGGTGTGGCGGTGCAGGCCACAGGGCGGCCAGACACTCGCGCTCCCGTCACGTTAAGGGGGGGGGGGGGGGTAGGCAAGAGACTCGGGGAGCTTCTTGCAGAGAGGGGGCACACAACCTTCCACACCCCCCTCCCTCTCACAACCCGGTGCCCTCCCCCGCTCAGCCAGTGACGTTTTTATTACGGGGCAGTGTTAATAAACAAGGTGCATGCAATGCTAACACAGACCGCTGATTGTAACACTTGGCTCTGCCAAAAAAAGTAAAAAAAAATCAAGTTAAAGAAGGAGTTAAATGTTTTAATACAACAAAAATAAGCATATCTATTACAATTAATATGGTAAGTACTTTGTAGCAGGGGGTGGGGGGGGGTGTGTCGGGAGCTTGGTAGTCGGTACCACGGCAAAGGTGGTGGTCGCTCCTGGGGGCATTGGAGGAGTTAAAATTTTTACTTGCAACACTGCGAAGTTGTGCTGCAGTTTGCTCGACACTGAAACAAACTTGATTTCGTTACAGCTGTTTTATTGTTTTTGTTGTTGGCGAAGTTGTCCTACGAAAAGGCACTCTGCCCAGCGGGCCACGCTTTGCTTTATAAACCAAAAGGGTTATTCAGTAGCATTTTTCGCTGTCCTTGATAACAAACAAAAACACGGGGATATGCAATCGCAAAATGTTTTTTTCCCTCCTAGTTTTGTTTTGTTTTTTGGGTCCTGCGTGTGAAAGTACCTTCGTTATTTTGAAGAATGTCTTATATGCAAACGAAATACAAATGCGTCAAAAATAAGTGCTTTGCTGTTAAAAAGGAGAGTAAATAAATAAATGCTGAAAATACAAGCAAAGTGTTGGGGCCATTGTGACAACAGGAAAAAAAACGCTTACAGTCACTTTTACTCGTTGTTCAAGCTACAAAAGCAAGATCGACATGTCATCAGGTTTACGCCATCCAGAGAGGAAGTTTATATAATCTTAAAAAACTAAAAAAAATCCAATAAAAACACAAAGCAAAAAAAATATATAGACAAGTTGTTACTGTGCTGTACGTCGCCCTGTACCGCGGACAATGTGTGAGGAGCTATTTAAAAAAAAGAATAATGAAAATCTGTGCAAACATTCGCGCAAGAGATGTCGGCGGTCGGCTGCGGCGGCGTCATTAGTTACCACGTGGTCAGGGTGCGCGCGTCGAGTGAGCAGCAGCAGCAGGAGTGGCGGCGACGAGGAGGAGGAGGGGGCACGGGGAAACTTTTGCAATCGCAAGTGCTGTCTGTGACCTAAGAAACGGCATTTATAATTTTTGGTGGCTTTTCCTTTATTGTTATATTATTTGTGTTTTTAATTTCTTGAAATACAAATTGTCCTTCCTTTGATAGAATGTGATTGTAATACTGTATCTGCTTTCACAAATGTATGGAGATTACTGAAACCTTGATGATGCATAATAACTGATAATAAAATGTCTGCTGCTCGGGACAGCCTGTGCAAATGGTTTTCTTTTTGTGCGCGTGTCTCTGTGTTGACGTGCGGTGTGGGGAGTGGTGGCACGGTGATTGGTGCACTGAGCTACGAACCAGGCGAACGGAGTCGAGATTCTTTCTCGCGTCCCAAATCGATGATCATTATCCAGAGCAGCCCTGCTCGTTTCCCAAGGTCGACTCATCCTTCAATGGGTACCTGGTGCGATGTGTAAACATCACTGGCGACACGAATGCGACCGGGCAAGATCCTGGCCACGTCCCCCAACAGTGTTAAAGCATCACACGGGGTGGGGGGTATCTTTAACGGTGATATTCACGTTACAGATCCCACAATTCAACTCTGCAATGCGCACCACGTATAGCGACCCCCACCGTGGAATGGTTGTTCACACTGGCCCCGTATCGACCCACCAGAGATCCACACCTGCCGGATGTCCGAGCCCATCGTGGACAACCTGGAGCTGTCTGTCCACAAGTAGCTCTCATACCCCCTCCTCCCCCCCCCCCCCCCCCAAAAAAAAAACTGGTGCCTCTTCAGTCGCTGGTCCCCCTTACTGCTGGGACAGGGTCAAACTCCCTCGTGGCATGTCGGATGCGGTCATCTGCAGTGCGACTGGCTGCGGTCACCCCGAGCCAGGCCATGGATCACGTTATTCCACGCTGTCGTCTGCACCGATTCACAGACCGTGGATCACGTGATCCAGCACTGCCGGCACCGCCGATGTGCGGGCAATAGAATCGGAATCTTTATACTGGAGGAATCCGATGAGCTATAAAGCGCTTTCACACGTCCAGTAGGGACGGCGTCGGAACGTAACAACAAGCAAAACATCGGAGTGCAAAGTGTAAGGATGGTAAATCACTTTTAAAAACATACAAACATCACCGACATCCACTTAGCCTCCACAGGATAGCAAGTGGCTTGGAAGCCTCGCTGCCGTTAGCAATTTCACCTTGCCATACGAAAGAAAATGGATCTGTGATGTGCGCAGTGGTATAATGGTGTAGGGATTGGAGTGCATTACCCAATGAACCGGGTGACACGCGTTCGATACCTGGCCACGGCTAACATAAGTGGCGGGCGATAAATTAACCGGTTCTGTGAATGTGTATTATGTTGAACTTCAATTCGCACCACCGTACGTTGCCAACCGTGCTGATCGGAGGTGCGGGGGAAAGACGACGGCACTGAACGGGTGATGGTGCAATTGACGATGTCCCGTGACGAGAGGACACGGACGCGTCATCACCGTCGTGCATGACTTCCACCGCGAAGCCTCTCGAGCCAATGCACTGCGAAGCGCGCGATCAAAGGGGCACAGTCGGCGATTGCAGACGAGATCCGCGTCGTTCGTTTTGAACGCGACCTTCGGGCGGTTCACAAAACGAGCTACGGGCAAGCTGCACTTGCACGCCCATCCCCCGAAAACACAACCCGAGCTAAATGCTGAGACGACTATAACCACCGCCGCCCCGGCGACCACCACCGCGCGATTACAAAAAAAAACCTCCAACCCAGTCGCATCGCGCAATTCCTGCTGCACGCACACAACGTCAGTACGCAACGTCATCACGCAACGTCCCTGCGCCGGCGCTCCTTGGCCACGCGGTGGCAGGCGCGGCCCGGGCGGACGTCTCGTTCAGATCCCCCCCACCCCCCTCATGCTCGCGGTGGCACCACCAAGTCACGGCAGCACGGCCCATGCGCCTGACCTTTGACCGAGGGCCTCCGCCTCCCGCCCCACACCGAGCCGATAGTGGGCGGTGAATTTGTCGCAAACATCACGGGCGCAGGTCATTGCGGCGTGGTGAGCCGTCACTTGTGGGCAGGTCGCTTCTGACAAAGGAAGCGACTCGCTCCAGTGGGCTTTACCTGACAAGATAAACAAACATATTTGAGTTTTTTTTATTTGTATATTTTATAAACGTGGTTTAGCGTTCCTAGACGTTGCACTCTCATCGTGTTTTTGCGTTGCAAATTGTTGGAACGTTCTGACCTGCCCCGTATTGAAAAGCGCTAAATAGCTCATCGGATTCTTCCAATATAAATATTCTGATTCTGATCGGACAAGACGGCACTGAATGTTGATGCTCTGCCTTCTGTTCCCCACAACGCCTGTAAAACAGTCGACCAACAAACACATCAACACGTTCCGTTTCAATAAACCTGTGTGTGGCCTTCAAACGAAATTACAAATGCATCATTAGACCACCTTTGCCAGTAAATTAAAAGCTGTACGCCTTTTGGCGTCCTCTGGTCTCGCACCAATTGAGACGAGGCTCAAAAGAAAGCCGTCTCTGTTGTGGACCCATCAGTTTCAAGGACAATGCATATATTATCCGAGTTTTTGTTTGCATTTTGACCACAAGTATTGTGGTTAATGCAGACATGATTCCTTGTAAAAAGGTTTCAGTTTTGTTGCCAGGAAAAAGGGGAAAAACCCCTATTATGGAGGACCATTGCCTAAAACGTCTCCGAATCTACATCTGTTGCTTATTTTCAGGCCGCACAGTGCTACTGACGAACGTGTTGAGTTGTTGATTGTGCACCACTTCCAACGCAGCAGCAGCAGCAGCAGCACCAAATAATTAGTTTACTTATACGTGGCGGTGACCCATCCAGGCACTATCCAGGCCCCCACCCGCTTAGCTTCCGATACAAAAGCTCAGGTGTATTCTGGGTAATTTGGTTTTCGGCAAAATTGTTCACGGTCATAGTTTATATTGACATTTTTTTTGCCCTTCAGCTTTAATTCCCGACTGACCTGCTGTATCGCCTCTCTCGCTCTCTCCGAAAGCTACATTGTGCTGACCACACGTCTGCTGGCATCATGGACCACGAGGAGGTGAGGCAAAAACTAAACTACTCACTTTTTTATTTTTCTAGGCAAGGCCCACTGAGGCTATAAAGCTCTTTCAGATGCCACCTGGGCCACATATGATAGCTCAACGAAGTGGCTTATCACGTGGACATTTATAGCAGCCAAATACTCCAAACGCGTGATGTTGATTCTAAATGTGGAGGGAAAAACAGAAGGACCTGGAGGAAAATCCCCGCGACCGCGAGACATGCACACAAAAAATATACAGGCGTCAGGGATTGGGATCGGAATTGAATCCACGACCTCCTGCATACCAGGCGAGGTAGTTAACATCTCGCCACCGTGACGCCTCAGACACAGGAGGCAAAATCTTGGGCTGCGTCTTCTGAGCCGTCCTTGCACTGTAACAGAATAAGCGTCACTATTTTATAACTCTCCTTGCATCCCATGCCCTCCGTGTGCACGTGTGTGTTGCTCTAAGTTACCATCAGCATCCCCCTCGGCTAATATAATGCGCGTATATACACGTTGGAGGTATATTCTTGGTTATTTCGGTAAAGTCACGTAGAAAGGAAACCGCATCCATTATTTTCGTCTCCCCCCTCCTCTTTTCCGAACATAGATGGACTCGTCCATCTGAACAAACTGTCAAATCGCTCTCCGTGGTGCTAACGTTAACTCCTCAGGGCTGCGTCCTTTCCCCACTGCTCTTCTCCCTGTATACCAACAGCTGCACCTCCAATCATCTGTCCGTCAAACGATTGAAGTTTGCGGACGACACCACCCTCATTGGGCTGATCTCTGGTGGGGATGAGTCTGCCTCTAGGTGGGAAGCTGACAACCTGGTGACCTGGTGTAGCCAGAACAACTTAGAGCTAAATGCTCTAAAGACAGTTGAGATGGTTGTGGACTTCAGGAAGAATACAGCCCCACTCACCCCCATCACCCTGTTAGACTCCCCAGTCAAAATTGTAGAGTCCTTCTGCTTCCTGGGCACTATTCTCTCCCGGGACCTCAAGTGGGAACTGAACATCAGCTCCCTCACCAAGAGAGCTCAACAGAGGATGTACTTTCTACGCCAGCTGAAGAAATTCAACCTGCCAAAGACAATTATGGTGCAATTCTATACAGCAATCATTGAATCCATCCTCACCTCCTCCATAACCGTCTGGTACGCTGCTGTCACTGCCAAGGACAAGAGCAGACTGCAGCGTATCATCCACACTGCTGAGAAGGTAATTGCCTGCAATCTACCAACCCTCGAGGACCTGCACACGACAAGGACCATGAGGCGAGCCAGGAAGATTATGGCAGATTCCTCCCACCCTGGACACTCTCTGTTTCAGCTACTCCCCTCTGGCAGAAGGCTTCGGTCCATTAGGACCAAAACCTCGCCATAAAAACAGTTTCTTCCCATCTGCTGCTGGACTGTTAAACAAGGCCAAGGGCTTACACTGATTTTAATATTTTATCTACATAATGACACCTTGCCGATATTAACTATGTTAACCTATTTGTATTTTTTTATTTTTAAATTATATCTTACAACTATTTTATATTCGATATTTATTCAATTTTATATACTTCAGCCCCTTGGTATTAGTTAAACTTCTAACCCTTATTATAGCAAGACTTGTTTTAAACTTATTTAAGATTTTAGATTCCTATATGTTGAATGTATGCACCATCCTGTCAAAGTAAATTCCGTGTCGGTGTGAACTTTCATGGCGAATAAAACCCTTTCTGATTCTGAAAACGCCACTTTTTTCAAATTTTCTTGCTGTGGTTTTCACACCTGATGATGATTGCTTGTGTTGCAGTCGAAACGTCGTGAGCATTGTATTGTTTTATATTTTTTATTATTTAATTTTTCCCTTCTACGTGACTTTACTGAAATAACCAAGAACGTTGGAGGTAATTGGACATTTCTGTGATGGTTTTGTTTCTGGTTCACAAATTGGCTACATTTATATTTAAATCGAGAGTTAATTCCTCCGCGGTGTTTTACACGCACCGTGTTAATACCTTAAAGGGCAAATGGGACATTTATCGTCAACACATTTTCGTCCCGGAAATATATCTTGAAGTACGTCGGCTTAAGTAGACCATTGAGCGACGTATTACATTGGCTTAAGCCGAACATGTTTCGCGTGCGGAGGACAGAGAATGGCGTTTGGAACACACTGAGTGGGAAAACGAATGTCCTTGGTTGTTTCGCATTCACAACGCCGGCGGGGGAGCTCACGTGTGTCGCACTCGAGAGCTGCGTCTCGCTTTGAGCATCACACGAGAGGCGACCGCGTCAATCGGCACAGATCATCGACAAGAATTACAAAGGGGCACACGCATTTTTTTCTTTTGCGAGGCTGTCACGTTTAATTACGAACATCAACAACAACAAAACCCCACCAATGCTGAGGTAGGAGACAGAAACTACTTTAATCAACATACGACTTGCGCCAGGGGCTCACCGAATGTCTCAACAACAACGCCTCTGACACCGGCACAGCACGAGACGGTGACGCAACAGCTGTTCCTGCCACACAGCCAAGAAACACGCGCGGCGCAGATAGGCACAGCACGTAGTACGAATACGCACAGCAAAAATCCACCAACACACACAACACAAACCCACCAACACACATCACAAACCCACCAACTCACACAACACAAACCCACCAACTCACACAGCACAAACCCACCAACACACACAGCACAAACCCACCAACTCACACAACACAAACCCACCAACTCACACAACACAAACCCACCAACTCACACAGCACAAACCCACCAACACACACAGCACAAACCCACCAACTCACACAACACAAACCCACCAAGTCACACATCACAAACCCATCAACTCACACATCACAAACCCATCAACTCACACATCACAAACCCATCAACACACATCACAAACCCATCAACTCACACAACACAAACCCACCAACTCACACAGCACAAACCCACCAACTCACACAACACAAACCCATCAACTCACACAACACAAACCCATCAACACGCAACACAAACCCACCAACTCACACAACACAAACCCACCAACACGCAACACAAACCCACCAACACGCAACACAAACCCACCAACACGCAACACAAACCCACCAACTCACACAACACAAACCCACCAACTCACACAACACAAACCCACCAACTCACACAACACAAACCCACCAACTCACACAACACAAACCCACCAATTCACAACACAAACCCACCAACTCACACAACACAAACCCATCAACACACAACACAAACCCACCAACTCACACAACACAAACCCATCAACACACAACACAAACCCACCAACTCACACAACACAAACCCACCAATTCACAACACAAACCCACCAACTCACACAGCACAAACCCATAAACACACAACACAAACCCACCAATTCACAACACAAACCCACCAACTCACACAGCACAAACCCACCAACTCACACAGCACAAACCCACCAACTCACACAACACAAACCCACCAACTCACACATCACAAACCCACCAACTCACACAACACAAACCCATCAACACACAACACAAACCCATCAACACACAACACAAACCCACCAACGCACACAACACAAACCCACCAACGCACACAACACAAACCCATCAACACACAACACAAACCCATCAACACACAACATAAACCCATCAACACACAACACAAACCCACCAACGCACACGACACAAACCCATCAACACACAACACAAACCCATCAACAGACAACACAAACCCATCAACAGACAACACAAACCCATCAACACACAACACAAACCCATCTTCAAAGGCAGACGCGTGCGCAGAACTCCACACACCAACTCTCACCGATCGTTCTCAACACACACACATAAAGATCCCCCGTATAGCCTTAACAGACTGTTGGGGCAAGTGCTATTAACGAGCACCTATGAAGGCCGGCACGGAACATGAGGAGGTGGATGGCCATCACCACGCTCGGCCGCCTTTGTCTTCCTAGTGGCGATATTTACACACCGCACCAGGTACTAGTTTGAGGCCGAGTCGACCTCGGGGAGGCCTAGGACCAGTTGAGATAATCGTCACCGCTGTTGCCCGTTAGCGGGAATCGAACTCCGGTAGCCGGGTTCGTTCCGCAGTGTGCTAACCGTTGCACTGCCGCTCCCCACAGCAGGCGCACGCACGCTGGGGACATTCGTGAGTGATTGGGCCGGGGTGAGAGGTCAGGGAACCGACCGAGAGGAGGACCAGAACTCGTTCAGGTAATAATCGTCACTGGTGTTGGCCGTGAGCCTGAATCGAACCCGAAGTTTGTAGCGCAGAATAATGACCGCCACACGACTTCTCCCTACAAAAACAGCCGTCATTCGGCACGAAGACGCGTTGACGTCACCACGGTGCTTGTGCCAAGCTAGGTGCACTTTGAGGCTGTCACGTAAAATGTGGAAGGCTCGCTGACAGACGTTCACAGGACAGACCCAGGTGCCATGGGTTGGCCGATATGACTGCTTCATAGAAATACAAAGAGCTCCCGTATAGCCTTAACCGGCTTTTGCGGCAAGTGCTGTTAGCGAGCACCTATGAAGGCCGGCACGGTACACGAGGGGGTGGGTGGCCAACACCGCACCCGACCGCCTTTGTCTCCCCAATGGCGATGTTTTTACACACCAAACCAGGTACTCATTTGAGGCTGAGTCGACCTAGAGCAGGCCCAGGACCTGTTCAGATAATCGTTACTGGTGTTAACCGTGAGCCGGAATCGAACTTCGGTCGCCGGGTTCCTAGTGCAGCGCGCTAACCACTACACTACCGCTCCCCTCCTCCTTAACTCACTCATGCACACTCATTCACCGCATGGTTTCTGCACATATGCAGACTCAATTACACTCAACAGAGTGAATGCTGTGAACAGCAATGGAACGTCTAGTCAACACAAATGTCCACTGTTGCTCATTCCCCACTGGAAACATCTCTGAAAATGAACTCTGCATCTCCCTAAGAACTTGACTGGATATTCAACACTTAATGCCAAACTGTAAAATGCTGCTGCTCCTCTTCCATACAACATTATCGTAGCTGACAGTCAAGGGATTTTACCCCACACAGTTAATCTATTTTACAACCGACAGTTCACGGTTTTTTTTGCCGGTGACAGTTCACTTTTTTTTACCACCATTCTTAGTGGCGTTCATCGTTGGCAGTTCGTGTCAGCATTGCACAGCCAGTCCATCTCCACAAGCTCCAGGCCTTCGCAGTACGAGTACGGCCGCCTGTTCAGAAGCTGAACGCAAAGGGAGGGGAGAAAATAAATTAGAGTAACACCCACTTGCCTCAACAAGTCTGTTTAAAGGCTGCACAGGGGATCTTGGTCTAGTGTCGGTCTAGACCAGAGGTCGGTCACCAAAACAACAAGCAGAGCCAATTTTTTCGATTTCGGTAAAAAAATATATTTCAATAGCCGCAATGTATGTGAATACGAGACGGTCCTTGATAAGTAAAAGGGGGGGGGGGGGGCGGCGTGGGTCCCCTCCTCTCCAGCAGGCTCCCTCACCCGGGGAGATATGTGCGCTGGCTGACGACGAGGGCCGGGGGAGCGGCTGGGCCGGTGGACGACGGCCGGGCCGCCCCGGTCCAGGCTGGAGGCCGACGTGTCGCTCGCTAGGCCCGAGTCCAGGACGTTGAGTCCCGACTGCAAACTGAGATCACGCAGCGGTGGGGCGGTGGGGGCAGCAGGGGGGGGGGGGTGGGCGGTGGAGGGTGGACGGACGGGGCGGGCGGGGGTGCCACAGGGTCAGCGGGTGGGAGGACTCGATGGGGATCAGAAATGAAAATAAATAACGGACGTGGTGGAGGAGCGATTGCATTAGAGGGGAGCGCCGAGGTTTGGCAAGAGCCCTTGACAGTCGGGGCGGAGGCGATCAGATGAAGCCAACGCCGGGGGGGGGGGGGGCGGGGGAATAATAATAATCGTCGTCGTCGGCGGCAGCATCTTAACGTCCTCACACGGGGTCCCGGAAAGGCCGTTTCCCACTAAAGTAACGGTACCAACGTATTTGTACGGCAAACGTTTGCTGCGTCGTCTGGTTGTTATAGCTCGCACTACGTGGAAGCCGAGAGAGGCCAAAACACCCTCTGCAGTGTTGGCTCTCGTGGATGGAGGATTATCCCCCAGCAGTGGTGCGCGCAAGCAGTTGCAGCGCTGCACCTTTGGCCCTAACCTCGCTCGTCGCACGCACGCACGCTGCCGCTGCTGCTACTGCTGCTGCCCAGTTGTGTGACTCGGAGCGGGTGGCAGCTTTGAGCTCTTCTCGTGCAGGTCAAATCCGAAGCTCGCGTACAGGAGAAGCGTCACTTTTTCTCCTGGCAAGCGAGCAGCCCGGCAACCATTAGTCCAACGGTTCCAACCACATGCCAACGTTGCTCCAACGTTGGCCCAACGGTTCTAACCACGTGCCAACATTGCTCCAACGTTGGGCGAACCTTGGGTCCGACGGTACCACACCGCGTGCCAACGTTGGGCAAACGTTGGTCCAGCGGTTCCAATCACGTTGGAACGTTGGCCGAACGTTGGCGAGTTTACTGGGGAAAATGTAGGCAGTGCCGCATGGTCTGTCAGTGTTCCTCCTACCCCCACCCCCGGCTCCGCTTGGCTTAACGAGGTTACAACGTCCTGCAAATTGATTCGTAATCACATTCAGGGACAACGAAGAGCGTCTGAGTCGGCGAGTAATTTTTTGAGTGCGAATTTTTTTCCGTATATTTTTATATTTAAACTTCGCCCGATTGTCAACAGCCCCATTCAGTTTTGATTTAAAGCTTTCGTGACTGCAGGGATTCATATTCTTGGTTCTTTCGGTAAAGTCACGTAGAAGGGAAACAATAAAATGATAAAAATATAAACAATAAGAATATTAGCCCCATTCAGCTTCAGGGCGAGAGTGCGAGCGGCGTTCAGCTGCCTAACGAAGTTCGCTGACGGCGTTGGACTCTTAACGAGCAGCAGCAACGCTGGAATTGGCGGCTCAGCGTGAATCTGGCTCGCCTCTATCCTGCGAGACAGAAGCCAGCAGGTCGCTATGGGGCATTGTGCCTCTCCTGTTGGTCATGCCACATTTGAGCTACCCCCAGGGCTCAATAGTACCCCAATCCCCAACCCCACCTCGTGGTCAATGTGTATGTCAGTCAATGAGGTGATCTCATACGTAGACACGTGGTCTTCAGTACCATCAATATGCGGACGTTAATCAGATCTACATCGCTTTGTACGTCAGATCCAGGCACCGCGATCTCTACGCTATCAGAATGCTTGTCTGAGGTCGCGGTTTGGATGGAGCAAAACTGGCTGAAGCCAAACCCGGGCCAAGACAGAGTAGACAATTGCCGGCTCGGAGTGGCGTTTGAGTGTGTTGCAGGTTGCAATTTTATTTTACTCAGTCGGGTTTATCTTTTTCACTCCTGTTACTCTGTGCCCACGCTGTAGCGTTTCCGTTCCGTTGTAATGTGCACCGATGCCTACCTTATTGAGGGGCGATATTGGCACATAAAATGAAGATTGATTGATTGATCCAATCCACGTGCACCGCACTGCGTCTCTCAACTTGTGCGTGTCGCCAACGTCGGAACTGCCATCGTCAAGTGCGGTTCTACAGCGGAGTAACTGGGTTGCCGCCATCGGAACGAGGGATCTCCACCACTGGCTCAGAACCACCAATGACTATTAACACCACCACCCCCCAAAACACACACGGAGACGCTCTGAGCCAGATATCCTGGACGTGTTGATCAAAGAGTCAAAACACAATGCCCTGGCGACTTGCCCATCCGTTAGTGATGAAGGCTTTGGCACGCTCGACAGAACGTGAACCCGCGAGCCTTGTGGCTCTTAAACTGACGTCGTGAGCGCACTCTTCACGACGGAGATGCGAATTGCACCAGAAGGGGCGTAATCTGTGGCCGCCCCCACTATGAACCCCTCCTCTCTCACCGGACGCTGCTGCTCCTCCGCGCAGCAGCGTCGATAGCCCTGAAGCAGCTTCTTGCGCCCTATCCTCATCTTTCCGTGACCACTTGGTCCAGTTTTTCCCTCCCATTTCCATCATTGTACTCTAATTTCCCCATTCTATCCCTTCTCTCTTCCTTTTCCCCTTCATTTTTTAATTGTCTTCTACGTCACGCCCTTTGACTGTACTGGCCCCTTCCCGTGGTGGTGTGCCATGTGGGATCTGCTGAAAATAAACTAATAATAATTTTAATGCAAAAAATAATGTCCAAGCCGAAGAGGATATCACGACACGAATGACACGGGGGTAGAGGTAATCATTTGCATGGAGGTGCAAGCAGTGACATAGCCACCAAGTGTCCAGGCGGTGCGACTGCACCGGTGCCCACAGACCGCTTCCGGCCAGTGGGCCATGGCCATTATAATGGGGCAGGTGGCCTCATGTCATTCACAGCAACCAGGACCCATCACAGCCGCGCCGCACCACCGCGTGATGTTTCAGAGAGAGGGGAAAAACTGGGTCGAGGGTCGTTAGGGCCGTAACTTTGAGAGCGGAGGTGGGGGGGGTGGTGCGGGTTGCGAGCAAAGTGAGGGACTCTTGCCCGGACTTGAAATCCCACGGTGGCAAGGAGACCCAAGTTCCACCGCGCGACGCGAGAGAGGCGTTACCTGATTCCTGCTCGCCCGTCCCGCCCCAGGCCTCCGCGAGGGTGACCGACGGGGGCAGCGTTCGGACCCCGGGCCGTGGGTCCCGCCGGCACGGCCGCAGCCGCCGCCGCCTCTTCGCTCGCCAGGGACCGCGCCGATCCCCAGGTCCAGGAGCTCCGTGCCGGTCGCGACCAGATCTCGTCGCAGCGGCTGAAGCGCCGGTAACTGCTGGCGGCGGTGGGGGTTGCGGAGGGGGAAAGGGGGTGGATGGGGGCTGTGCGTTAGGAGTACCGCCTGGGATGCGCTCCTGGGCGGCACCGTATGCGATTTGGACACCAGTGAAATGCCTGGGCATCTGTGGGAAAGAGCTTTGTTGCTCAGCGGATTTCTCCAATGCTAATAAATATTATCATTTCGAATTTGGGGATGATGTTGATGAGGAAATGTTTGTTGTTGTTTCGGAATGATCACAAAGTGTGATGTTACATGGAAACGATGTGACATTGTGCCAATTTTTTTTTTATTTTTCAGCCAAAAGTGGTCTCACGTAGTATCGGGCCATGCCACTTATGTACACACAAAGACACGTGGCATCATTGCTTGACGTAAACAATCCAACAATCTGAAATAAAGGGATCTGAAATTGATCTTGAATAGTTGAAAATGTAAAAGCCGAGATTCGTCCCGAGTTTTGCCGCAATATCATTTTTAAAACCGCCGACTGAACGCGTGGCCACGTTACCGCGCGTACCGCCACCAACTCGAGCTGGTGGACAAAGCTCAGAGCATTGCCCGTGTAACGTGGTGGTTCCCATCACACGCACGCAAGGCATCCACACCTCCGATTAGCACGGTAGGCTACGTACGATGCAAAAGAAGTCCAACACACATCCGTACTACCCATAGACTAACACTGCCCATAGACTCAACACTGCACCTCCGATTAGCACGGTTGGCTACGCACGATGCAAAAGAAGTCCAACACACATCCGTACTACCCATAGACTAACACTGCCCATAGACTCAACACTGCACCTCCGATTAGCACGGTTGGCTACGTACGATGCAAAAGAAGTCCAACACACATCCGTACTACCCATAGACTAACACTGCCCATAGACTCAACACTGCACCTCCGATAATCACGGTTGGCTACGTGCGGTGCAAAAGAAGCCCAACACAGCTACGTGAGTCGTGCCACCTGTGAAAGAAAGCTTCGTGAGCTCGTCGGAATCCTTCACTTTAAATCAAGATTCTGACTCTGTCAGTCGGTAACCCACCCCACCACCCTCCCCAATTCGTGTTACCGCTCGTGCACGACGAAGCCACGCCGAGTGTGCGTGCCCCCGGCGGCGTTTATGTCGTCGTTTTGTCAGTGAGCGCTTAATTTGAGCGCTTGCGACGACCGCGCCTGCGGCGTCAAGGTATCCGCCGCCGCGGGCGGCCGCCTCTGCCGAACCGCGCCGTGTCGAGCGGCACCTGGCGCCGAGAGCCGGGTCCATTCAACGGTGGCGGCGCTGGCGCGTGTAAAAAAAAATTGTTTTAACGCTTCCCCCAGGAAGCGTCGCTCGTTATTGTTCGCCGTGTTGTTTTAGGTTGTGAGGTTTTTTTTTATTGCCCAGGAGGGGAAATCCTCACATCTCAAAACACGTGGGGGGGGGGGGGGGCGGGGGAGTCGGTGGGGGTTGGGGGCTGGGGGGGTCACAAGCTGGGAGGGTGGCATCGTGAGGCACGGGTCCCTGCCATTGTCATTCGAGGCATTCAGACGGCGGAGAAAGTAACACGATTTTACTTATTCAGAGAGCGAGAGACAAATAACTAGAGTAATGAATAACAGATATTAAAGCAGGGCGGCGTATTAAAGATTCCCCCTGACCCAGCCCATTATTATAATTATCAAACGTACGGACGTCACGTTTAAAATATCATCTCAGCGCCGCTCATTATTTCCGTGGGCCGCGCTGTGCGAAAGCAGCAGCGGTTATTATAAAAATATATTTATTTAGAAAACGAGCGGCCTCGGCTTAATAGTTGTTTTAATAAGATGCCCGGGAAGAGATCTCCCGCCAGTCCCCTCGCCCGACCCGATTGGATCGCGAGGCGGCCGCGGTCATTACGAGCCCCCCACCACCACCACCGCAGGAGCGACCCCGCCACACGGGGACGATGGTGACCCCGCCGGTGACCCCGCCGGTGACCCCACCGGTGACCCCGCCGGTGGCCCCGCCGGTGACCACGCCGGTGACCCCGCCGGTGACCCCGCGAACAGCCGCGACCAACCCAATATCGGCTCCCTCTAAAATCGTTCCCAGGGGGTAAACATTCAGTGACTGTTTGTAGCCACCCCCCCCCCCCCAAGGAAAAAAAACTTTGTCCTCGCCACCGAACGTTGTGGCGTTGGTGGGGGGTTATGGTCACAGCTTTGGGTTAGGGTCGTTTTCTGCAAGAGGAAAATGTAATTACATTTTTTTTTATTAAATCTACTTTGCTTAGGGCAGAGTCAGGACCAAACACGTCGATTGCAAACTAAGCAGCTGCTTCATCACTCAGTTAGACGATGGCGGGGAGGGGGGGGTCTTAGAGATATCTGTCTTTGAGTTTGCAACGCACGAATGTTCGACACTTGGCTGGAACCTCTTCGGAGATCCCAGCCGGTTAATCCGTCCAGGGCTTGAACTAAATCGCTCACGGGAAATCGACTCACACCAAGTGTGGCTCCCTTCCCCCTCGACTCACACGGAGTGTGGCTCCCTCCCTCGACTCACACGTAATTTGGCTCCCACCCCCCTCGACTCACACGGAGTATGACTCCCCCCCTCGACTCACACGGAGTGTGGCTCCCCCCCTCGACTCACACAGAGTGTGGCTCCCCCCTCGACTCACACCTCAACTCACACCAATATAGGTTTAGGGTTCGATCGCATAAATATATAAATGTGTCGTTAAACCCACCACTACCCGACACAGCCAATTATTGAGGTTTATCACTTAAACAAAACGCGCCAATTCGTTACGAGTACAGCCCGCACCCGTTGTGTTGGAGAGTAATCCCACAGCAACATTAACAATTCGAGTAACGACGTCTCGCCAGTAATTACAACAACCAGCATCATCAGGCGGTGTTCATAACAATAATAATTTAATTTCACAGAGAGCCATTCGTGCAATTGCATCCCACAACGCTGCAACATCAATTAGCCACTCGCTTACACGGATGATACATAAACAACCCCCCCTCCCCACTTACTAAGCAACTAAAATAATACATAAATAACTACCTAACTAACAAAAAAAACTATCATGGATAACATTGGTCGCGAAAGCCTACGTGTTGAAACTGAAGAACAGAAGAGAGCGAGAGAGATCGCAAAGCTGTTTAAGATGCTCAGTCGTGAGCCCCCCATCCACCACATCCCCCTCTTTGGCCGATGTCGGCTAGGAGCTGATGGGGGGGGGGGGCCTCTAAAGATTGTGGGCCACGTGGTCCGCAAGAAATCGGCCTCTACCGTGGTGATGTCGGCCGGTCATCATGACCTTCTTAGGCACGTCACGTGTCTCTGTGCACAAGGGCTCTCTTGGTTCAACCTCGCTCTCACTGCTCCAGACATGGTTTATTGCATTTCATTTCCCCACATCAACCACGTGGCCGTGGTGGTGGTGTTGCTGGGAGGGGGGGAGAGAGACCTGGGATGAAGCCACCGCTCTTAGCGGAGCAGGAAGTCGCTAGGGTTGCTCACACGTGAAATCGTGGTGTGTGTGTCTGTGTGTGTGTCGTGGTGAAACTACGGTGAGTGTGTGTCGCCGTGTGTGTGTAGTGGTGAAACTACGGTGTGTGTGTGTGTGTCACCGTGTGTGTCGTGGTGAAACTACGGTGTGTGTGTGTGTGGTGGTGAAACTACGGTTTGTGTGTGTGTCACCGTGTGTGTCGTGGTGAAACTACGGGGTGTGTGTGTGTGTGTCGTGGTGAAACTACGGTGGGTGTGTGTGTGTCACCGTGTGTGTGTGTCGTGGTAAAACTACGGTGAGTGTGTGTGTGTCACCGTGCGTGTGTTGCAGTGGGGAGCGGTGCGCTACGAACCCGGCGACCCGAGTTCGATTCTCGCTCACGGCCCAACACCAGTGAAGATTATCTGAACCGGTTCTGGGCCTCCCCTAGGTCGACTCAGCCTCAAATGATTACCCGGTGCGGTGTGTAAACATCGCCACTGGGGAGACAAAGGCGGCCGGGCGTGGTGCTGGTCACCCACCCTCTCGTGTGGCGTGCCGGCCTTCATAGGTGCTACTCGCTAACAGCACTTGCCCCAACAGTCTGTTGAGGCTATACGGGAGATCTTTGCCTTTTGTGTCACGGTGTCAGCCGACCGTCGCTCCCCTCGGCTCCGCTTTCCTCGTTCCGCCAAATCGGCCCCGGGCCACCAGCGGCCCGGGGCCGATTTGGCCACGCGGAGAGCGGCGAGCGCGTTGAGAGTCGTGGGGCGCAGTCGTCACGCAGCGAGCACCAGGCTGGCTTCCATCTCCGCCTCGTCACCCACCCACCCACCCCCCACGACTCCCACCAGCAGCACCACCACCTCCGCTCCCCCTCTTCCTGTTTTCACTCGCGAGCTTCGTTCCCCAGGACACGCGGCGGTGGCGTTGGGGAGTGCCGGGAGCAGGAACCATCGACCCCTCCCCCGCCCCCCCGCCTGAGGCAGTCACCGCTAAACAACGCGGGCCTCCCCCCTCTCCCCCCTCTCACCCTCCCCCTCTCACTCTCCCCTCTCTCACTCTCCCCTCTCTCTCACTCTCCCCTCTCTCTCTCTCACTCTCCCCTGACTCTCACTCTCCCCTGACTCTCACTCTCCCTCACTCTCCCCTCACTCTCTCACTCTCCCCTCTCTCACACTCTTACTCTCTCTCACTCTCTTACTCTCACTCTCCCCTCTCTCTCTCACTCTCCCCACTCTCACACTCTTACTCTCTCTCTCACTCTCCCCACTCTCACTCTCCCCTCTCTCTCTCACCCTCTTACTCTCACTCTCCCCTCTCTCTCACTCTCCCCTCTCTCACACTCTTACTCTCTCTCTCACTCTCCCCTGACTCTCACTCTCCCCTCTCTCTCACTCTCCCCTCTCTCTCACTCTCCCCACTCTCACACTCTCCCCTCTCTCTCACTCTCCCCACTCTCACACTCTTACTCTCTCTCTCACCCTCTTACTCTCACTCTCCCCTCTCTCTCACTCTCCCCTGACTCTCACTCTCTTATTCTCTCTCACTCTCCCCTGACTCTCACTCTCCGCGCTCTCTCGCTTCTCTCTTCTCTCACTCTCTCCTCTCTCGCACCAAGCGAAGGTATCGCTTTGTCAATATCGACTGCTGCAGGAGGAGGAGGACCTCCCTTCCAACTCCCCCATCCCCAGCTGATGATAGCATTTGCACCCGCCGGTTTGCTAAGGCTACAATAGGGGGGGGGGGGTAGTATTTGTCTTTGTCTTGCACTGGCAGAACGCCAGCCCGCGGTGTATCTACATACGATGTGTGCGTGTGTGCTGAACAACGGAGGGCAGAGGAGTGACGCGCACAACAACGGGTGGAGCGCCGGGCGGATAAAATGCAGAAAGTCGGCACAGCAGAGGGGGTACAGCTGGTGGTGCATCTACCGCTCATCACAGTCAGCCAACCCGTGGCACCTGCTGGGTCTGTCCCGAGATCTCCCCCCGTCAGCAGCGAGCCTTCGACACTTCGCGTGGCCTCAAGGTGCACCTGGCCTGGCACAGGCGCCGTGGTGACGTCACCGTCACTTAGTGGCGATTGGCCGGGGTTTGGTATCGGTGCGTTTAACGTCTGTCTCGCCGTGACATCGCCCACCGTGTGCTCATCGGAGGTGCGGCCGCGGTGTTCGCGTGCTCGGTGCGGAGGCCGCTCACGGCAGCGGACGCGGGAGCCTAGCACAGTACAACTATTAACGACTGAGATGTGAATATTTATTTAAGTGCACGGAACCCAGCCTGTGGCAACGTTTTCGTGCGCGGTTGAGTGCCCAGCCAATCTACTATTCAGGCTCAATCCTGCTTAGCCTACGAGATCTGATGAGATCGGGCGCGTTACAGGTGATTTGGTCACACGTTTTTTGTGTGTGTGTGTGGAACAGATATTGCAAAATGCATGTAATAACAATAATAACAATGATGATATCAACTTGTAATCCTGCTGACCCACAATATCCGCTCGCTCTCGTAGAGCGGGAGAGAGAGGGAGGACGATTCCGAGACGCGAGGAGTTACCGGAGATGAGCGCTAAGCCGGCGCTTCCAGCAATTGCCCAAGCTCTGCGCTCCAATGTGTATATGAACAAATAGTTTTTGAGACAATTAATAAGCATGCATACATATGCGAGGAAAACGGAGCTCACGGATAAATCTCACGCGCGCGAGGGGGAAACACTCTATCCCATACAGGTGAAACGGATGGAGATCAGTCCACATTTTGCAGTACCACGAGGCCCACGGGAAGGGAGTTTCGTTAAAATGTTGTACGGTGAGCCACCAACCCTCCCCTCCACAGTGCTGGAGGACAGGTGTGTACCACCACCACAGCCTGGTACTGCTCGTTCGAGCAGGGATGCAGATTGATTTTGATGACCCGCGATTGATGACCTCGTGGATTTTTATGACCCCGTGGTTCTTAATTGCCTCGTGGTTATTAATGACCTAGTGGTGTTTGATGACCTCCGTGAGTTTGCCCGGAGGTCCATCTGAGTCGGTGACCCAGAAAAATAATTCCACATCCGGCACACCACAACCAGTATACCTGTCACTATGGCCGTGGCAATTAGCTAGTCATGTGCCACCTACTCCAATCTCCATGCAAACCCTGAAATATTTATACGACCGGCACACCACATCCAGTATATCTCTCGCTGTGGTGGTGGCTACGCTTGACCGGGTTTCTGAAGCCATACCTGCTGTGCTCCTGCTCCGTGTCCTTCACTGCGGGGGTCACGTGCTGGCACTGTCTCCTGCCCCTCCTCCTCCTCGCCACGAGCACCGCCAGGGTGGTCACGGCGGCCGCCAGGGCCATGGCGACCCCCAGGGCGACCCCGGCCACGCGGCCCAGGCCCTGGCTCTCGGCCGTCACCTTCTCGTCGCAGTGCGGCCCCACAAACCAAAAATCCTCCCCCACGGGGCACCTGTTGTCGCGCGACGGGCGGAGATAGAGAGAGGGGGGGGGGGGGTGAGGTTCGACGTTTCGGAGGTTTTTGCCTTAAATAGGAGCAAGCGCTCGTCGGGGGATCTTTAACGTCCACTGATTAGCACGGTTGGCTACGTACGGCGCGAAAGAAGTTCAACATGCACACGCGCGCGTGCGTGCGCGTGGAAAACGTGTCTGCGCGCGTGTGCACGGGCAACGTGGGCACGCAGAGCGCGCAGGGCGCTCAGGGTGCAGCGCAGCGCAGCGAGCGAGCGAGCTGGGCCAAAAAAGGCGCCCGTACCGGCACGCGGGTCCCTCCGGAGGCCGGTGGCTGCAGACGCCGTCGTTGAGGCAGAACCCCGCGTGGCAGCGCGAGGAGCAGACGGGCGCGCGGCCGCGGCGCGTGGGCTCGGCGCACGCGAAGCCGGCGGCGCACACGAACGCGCGGCCGCACAGCGCCGACCGCCGCTCTGCGCATCGCAATCCGTTCACATTCGTCACTCGCGCACGGTCGGCGGAGCGTTCGATCTTGTTTGAGCCCTCCCCCAACCCCTTATTGTTGTCGAGCCTCGGCAGACCGGCGGTGTGGCCGGCGCCGCGCCCGCTCACCGTCGTCTCCCCAATCAACCCCACCCCCACCCCCCCCCCGTGGCGGTGCTTACACGGCACACCACCGGCCGGTTCGAGACATCTCGTCAGCGGGTTTGTTGGCCAAGTGTGGGAAGTGAACTCGGTTCGCCGCGCGCTCTTAGGGCAGTAACACGCACGAGCACAAAGACAAAGATCTCCCGTATAGCCTTGACAGACTTTTTGGGGCAAGTGCTGTTAGCGAGCGCCCATGAAGGCAAGAACGGCACACGAGGGGGTTGGGGTGGGCAGCACCACGCCCGGCCGTCTTTGTCTCCCTAGTGGCGATGTTTACACACCCCACCAGGTACTGATTTGAACACACACACACACACGAACACCACACACGAACACACACACACGAACACACACTCACGAACACACACACACACACGCATGGACACACACACATGAACACACACAACACACATGAACACACACACACATGAACACACACACACATGAACACACACACACATGAACACACACACAACACTCACGAACACACACACATGAACACACACACATGAACACACACTCATGAACACACACACATGAACACACACACATGAACACACACACACATGAACACGCACACACTCACGAACACACACACACATGAACACACAGACACACAAATGAACACACACACACAACACACATGAACACACACACACACCACACACACACATGAACACACACACACAACACACACGTAGTTCACATATCCGACGCACCGTCGAGGACGACCTCCACGACCCTGGCGCCGCCCACGAAGACCCCGGCGGCCAGCGCGGCTTGGAGGCCGCTGGCGCGCACCACCTCGGCCAGATCCCAGAGGTGGTGGCGGATCGGCGCGGCCAGGAACACGGCGGCCGTGTCCACGATGGTGCTGCCGTTTCTGTGCCCGCACGCCGGCACAAAGACAAAGATCCCACCCCCACCACCCACCACCACCCACCACCGTTATAGCCTTCGATGGGCTGTTGGGGCAAGTGCTGCCGGCGAGCGCCTCTGTCTCCCCAATACGGCGCTGATTTATTTACACCGCTCCGGGTGCTCATTTCAGGCCGAGTTGACCTACGCGGAGACCCAGGACCGGTTCAAATATTCGCCGTGAGCGGGAGTCGGACTCGGGTCGCCGGGTTCGTAGCGCAGCGTAGCGCTAACCGCTGCGCCACCACTCGCCACACACACTCGCACACACGTGCGCGCATGTGAGCACCTACTCTGGATGCCCCTTACTCCTACGACTACTATTTTATATTTTTATTTTCCCAGGTAAGGCTCCCTGGGCGATGTAGATCTTTCTTGAGAAGCGACCTGGCCATCACAAATGACAGCTCAACGAAGTGGCTCATCATCATGTGGACATTTATAGCAGCCAAATACTCTTAAGCGCATTTTGATTCTTAGTGTGGAGGGGAAAACTGGAGGACCCGGAGAAAAGTCCACGCGGCCAGAGGGAGAACTTCAAATCTACAGCAGGCGTCAGGGTCGGGATCGAACACACGACATCCTGTATACCAGGTGAGGTAGTTAACATCTCCTAGCCACCGTGATGATGATGAGAGAGAGACAGGCAAACTTCAAATATACAGCAGCAGGCGTCAGGGTCGGGATCGAACCCACGACATCCTGTATACCAGGTGAGGTAGTTAACATCGCCTGGGCGACTGGTTGCGCAACTTTAATCATCGCCCGAAATTGTCGCTCGCGAATGCGCGGCACGTGATGAAAGTTGTCCCTCCAAATCTCCGGGCAGACCGATGCTCGAACGTCGAGTCCTGTGCTGAGTGGGCTGACACCGTCATCGACGCGCTACGCTTGAGAAACAGGGCTTTATCACAGCAAACCTGTCAACACCTTATCAGTGCTGCCTACCTTATTATAACAGACCAATTCAGACCTTATTGGTCACCCCGTGCCCCTTATAAATCTCTGACGTTCATCCCACAAAGTCTCATCACAAGGGAGAAACACAAACAAATAGACAAACATTTTTCTTTTGCCCGTTTTGAAACGGCTGTACGCCGCAGGGGCCTGAAACACTCAATTTCCCCGTGCAAGAATACGGGGCAAAGCGTATTTACGCGATCTAACTAAAGACAACCGATATTGTGGATGACATTGGTCGCGAAAGCCGACGTTTTAAACCGTATGCGGTAACAGGTATTCATAGACGACTTAAAGCTGAATTCGAACTTCAGGATCTCGGCGGTGTGTCCGCTCTGAACTGTTGACCTCTGAGGCTCTGAGCCACCCGGCCACCTTAAGAGCTAGGGTGTTGTAGTTTTTCCAAGGAGAGAGAAGGACATGGATTTGCTGATCGATGATCAGGGATGGTGAGGGGGGGGCGTTTGCATTGTTGAATGCGCACCGTATTCTCTTGATGATGAGGTCTTGGAATCCGGAGACCTTCCAAAAAAACGGATCGATCTGCGAATGAAAGCGTCGCGACGTTAAGTGAAACCGTCGCTGTGGCTCAGATCCGCACGGTGAAGCTCGGGACCAGCAGCACGTGAATGAGAACGCCGTCAGAAGTAGCACATCGCCAATATTCCTTTTAAAACATTGTAGTTCGGGGTTTAATTAACAGCAGCCCTTTGTCGCCGTTGAGATCCAATGCTGAATGATGGAGGCCTCTCCCCACGCCGTATTGGAGGTTATTTGGCTCTACTTCACCACGTTGGTCAGTACGGATTGGTGAAGGGGGGGGGGGGGGTGGTTCAGAACCGGTTCAGTTAATTCGCTACCGCTGTTGGCCGTGACCGGGAGTCGAACTGTTAAGGTCGCTGGGTTTGGTAGCGCAGTGCTGTTGTATATGAGCCTAGCAGTGCGATAACCACCGCGCCACCCCTCCAAACCGTGGACGGGGTAGACACGACCAATGCTGTATGTACCTTAAGTATGTAGAAACTTCTTTCGCACCGTACGTAGCCAACCGTGCTAATCGGAGGTGCCATTAGCACGGTTGGTTATGTACTCTTTCACAGCGCTGTGCGCTCTGCAATGTGGGACAGCTGGGAGGGCGATGTGGAACAGCTGGGAGGGCGATGTGGAACAGCTGGGAGGGCGATGTGGAACAGCTGGGAGGGAGATGTGCGACAGCTGGGAGGGTGATGTGGAAAAGCTGGGAGGGAGATGTGGAACAGCTGGGAGGGAGATGTGCAACAGCTGGGAGAGCGATGTGGATCAGCTGGGAGGGTGATGTGGAACAGCTGGGAGGGCGATGTGGAACAGCTGGGAGGGAGATGTGCAACAGCTGGGAGAGCGATGTGGATCAGCTGGGAGGAAGATGTGCAACAGTTGGGAGGGAGATGTGCGACAGCTGGGAGGGTGATGTGGAACAGCTGGGAGGGAGATGTGGAACAGCTGGGAGGGAGATGTGGAACAGCTGGGAGGGCGATGTGGAACAGCTGGGAGGGAGATGTGGAACAGCTGGGAGGGCGATGTGGAACAGCTGGGAGGGCGATGTGGAACAGCTGGGAGAGAGATGTGGAACAGCTGGGAGGGCGATGTGGAACAGCTGGGAGGGCGATGTGCAACAGCTGGGAGGGCGATGTGGAACAGCTGGGAGGGCGATGTGGAACAGCTGGGAGGGAGATGTGGAACAGCTGGGAGGGCGATGTGGAACAGCTGGGAGGGAGATGTGCAACAGCTGGGAGGGCGATGTGACACAGCTGGGAGGGCGATGTTCGTCACCCCAAAACGGCGGCGGGGACTCACGGTCTCGTGGAAGTTCTCCACCAGAGCTCGGCGCTGGGGCGACGCCGGGTCGAGCAGAGCGACGCTGAACACCAAGTCGATGCGCAGAGACAGGGACACGTGGATCCTGGTACCTCCTGCAGCAGGAACGGAACGCGACCGTCGCGTCGTCATCGTCATCATCATCATCATCGTCGTCATCATCGTCATCATCATCGTCATCATCATCATCATTATCTCTGGCGATGATGATCATCGACGCGCACGACTGCGTGGACAGGAGGAGTTGCCGGTTGAACGGTGCCAGCGTGCTGGGGAACTTGCAGGGCCGGGTCGCTGAGGACGCCGCTAGGACGAGGGGGACTACAATCGACAGACCCCCGCGGTTGCTTTTTGCCCACCGATGCCGGCAACTTTTGTCGGAGCGGCGCCGTGCAGCTGTCCCTCGTGGTTGTCCGGTCGTGCGCGTCTGCCGTTCCGCGTCATCTCGTGTTGTTGTTCAGCGTGGTGGTGGTGTAGTGGTCATTTCAACTCGATGTCGCGCACCGAGCCCGTCTCCGCCGCGGCCAGTCGGTACCTTTGAAGACCGGCGGTCGATCCTCGGCCACGACGACGGCCGGGTTCGGCTCGCGCCTCCCGTGGCCCCTGGGCGCTGTCGCGGTCTCGCCGGAGGTGGTGGCCGTGGCGGTGGCCTCGCGCGGGCCGCCTGTGGTCGCGTGGCGCCCCGGGCCGGCTGCCGACGTCGTGACCCCGTGGCGCGGTGACCCCTTCGGCTCGCCTCTGCCGGGGAACATACTCGGCGCGAGCCGCGCGCCCACGGTGGTGGTGGTTGTTACGGTTGTTGTTGTGACGCGGGCCCAGCGGGGACGCGGTGGCCTCGGCCGTGCGGTCCGAGTCGGTGAGGCTCGCGTCGAATGCTCTGTTGCTTCTGTTGCCGCTGCTGCTTCTGTTGTTCCTGCTTCTGTTGCCGCTGCTTCTGTTGCTACTGTTTCTGTTGTTCCTGCTTCTGTTGCTACTGCTGGTGCTTTTGTTGTTCCTGCTTCTGTTGCTGCTGCTTCTGTTGCTGCTGCTGCTACTGCTTCTGTTGCTACTGCTTCTGTTGCCGCTGGTGCTTCTGTTGTTCCTGCTTCTGTTGCTACTGCTGGTGCTTCTGTTGCTACTGCTTCTGTTGCTGCTGCTGCTGCTTCTGTTGCTGCTGCTGCTACTGCTTCTGTTGTTCCTGCTGGTGCTTCTGTTTCTGCTGCTTCTGTTGCTACTGCTTCTGTTGCTGCTGCTTCTGTTGCTACTGCTTCTGTTGCTGCTGCTTCTGTTGCTACTGCTTTTGTTGTTCCTGCTGGTGCTTCTGTTGCTACTGCTTCTGTTGCTACTGCTTCTGTTGCTATTGCTTCTGTTGCCGCTGCTTCTGTTGCTACTGCTTCTGTTGTTCCTGCTGGTGCTTCTGTTGCTGCTTCTTCTGTTGCTACTGTTTCTGTTGCTACTGCTGGTGCTTCTGTTACTGCTGCTTCTGTTTCTACTGCTGCTGTTTCTGTTGCTACTGCTTCTGTTGCTGGTGCTTCTGTTGTTACTGCTTCTGTTGCTACTGCTTCTGTTGCTACTGCTTCTGGTGCTTCTGTTGTTCCTGCTTCTGTTGCTGCTGCTTCTGTTGCTACTGCTTCTGTTGTTCCTGCTGCTGCTTCTGTTGCTACTGCTTCTGTTGCTACTGCTTCTGTTGCTACTGCTTCTGTTGTTCCCGCTGGTGCTTCTGTTTCTACTGCTGCTGTTTCTGTTGCTACTGCTGCTGCTTCTGTTTCTACTGCTGCTGTTTCTGTTGCTACTGCTTCTGTTGCTGCTGCTTCTGTTGCTACTGCTTGTGTCTCTGCTGCTTCTGTTGCTACTGCTTCTGTTGATACTGCTTCTGTTTCTGCTGCTTCTGTTGCTACTTTGTCTGTTGCTACTGCTTCTGTTTCTGCTGCTTCTGTTGTTACTGCTTCTGTTGCTACTGCTTCTGTTTCTGCTGCTTCTGTTGCTACTGCTTCTGTTGCTGGCGCTTCTGTTGCTACTGCTTCTGTTGCTACTGCTTCTGTTGCTACTGCTTCTGTTGCTACTGCTTCTGTTTCTACTGCTTCTGTTGCTGGCACTTCTGTTGCTACTGCTTCTGTTGCTACTGCTTCTGTTGCTACTGCTTCTGTTGCTACTGCTTCTGTTTCTGCTGCTTCTGTTGCTGCTGCTTCTGTTGCTACTGCTTCTGTTTCTACTGCTTCTGTTGCTGGCGCTTCTGTTGCTACTGCTTCTGTTGCTACTGCTTCTGTTGCTACTGCTTCTGTTGCTACTGCTTCTGTTTCTGCTGCTTCTGTTGCTACTGCTTCTGTTGCTACTGCTTCTGTTGCTGGTGCTTCTGTTGCTACAAATGGTGCTGCTGTTGTAACTGCTGGTGCTGCCACTGCTGCGCTTGTGGGAGGCACCGCCTGGTTCCATTGCCCCGCCGGCACCGCCGACGCCACGGCGCTGCCCATCGCGATCTCCTCTGCGGCCCGAGCGGCGGAGAGGGCCGCGCGCGGGGAACCCCGCGTGACCCGGGGCCAGCGGGCGGCCGTGGGAAGTGTCGTCCGCTCCTCGTCCGGGGAGTCGGCCTCCGACCCCATGGTCACTTCCGACGTCACAAACCCCGGCCGCCACTCCACGGTGGGCGCGCGTCCGCCCGCGGAAGCCGCGGCCGCGTTCGGCGCCGTCGTTGTAGCGAGCGCCGGGCGAGCGCTGGCTGGCGACGGGGGCCCCCTTGAGCGCGGGCTGAGCCGGCACGCGGGCGAGCGTGCGGGGTTGCGCGCCTCACCCTGCCGTGACGCCTCTGCTCCCCGCGCCACCGCAGCCGCCGCAGCCTCCTCAATTGGCCGAGGCTCTCCCGCGTTCAATTCGCTCCCCGCCGCCATTGCCGGCGCCTGCGAGGTCGACGGTTCGGGGTCAAAAATGCGCCCCAGCGATTTTGTCGAATTCGGGCAGGACGTGCGCGAGGGAGCGCCGCTCGTTACTCCGACGCCGTCCGGAGACCCGGACTCTGCCGACACGGAATCGTTCACAGCGCGAAACTCACTCCGGGTGTGCTCGGCGGGGCTTGGCTCCTCTGCAGTAA